ATTGTAACAAAGAGGAAAATAAAGATTTTTTTTATTTATTGTACTCGTAGACATACGACTAGTATCGAAATTAATCCAAACTGAATTGGTTGGCAATACATCAAAGAGACTAGAATATTCCATGAAATTTGTAATTCTGGGTTAAATTATATTCATCATACTGTTGAAAACGAACATTAGTATGTGACAAACTGAAAACTATAAAGATTCGCTCAGTATCATTACTAACCTAGGAATCTATTTCACAGATGACTGGAAATAAACTGCTCAGTATATTTAGAAGTGATGGATCCGTAAGCCGTCTCACAACAGTAGCAAAATATATAAGAGACTTTATTTGTAACGCATTTAAGTCGTAAGTGCCGTAATGCGCTGAAAACCTGCTATCAAATGTGCACTCGTATCGAAATCCGTGTAATCGAATACGCTCCGATTCATAACCATATTAAGCTGGGGCTGGTATCCGGTATCGATTATGTCGAGTTGATACACATGTAGAGAACGGAACCGATAGCCAAATAAACTAGCAAACCGCATCGATTACCTGTCAGGGGCAGCCTTCCCTAGCCGAGTGACCGCGCCGCCGGACTTGTGGAGATCGTCTCCATTACACTAAACTAACTTAACAGGAATTCATCAATAAGTAGGTATCTTCTACTTTGCGGAATCACTCGATTTACTAGTATATTTATGTGATACAAGATATATAATATTGAATTATTCTAATACATTACTATAACGGATTATCACAACGATAATAACACAAAAATTACTAATACAAAAATATTCCTAATATTACGTTTTATTTTATTATAAATTGTAAATTTGAAAAATATCCACTTGAAAATTGATAAAACATAATGTTTTCGTTAATTTCAAAAAGGAAGAAGTTATTTTTTGTTACGTGATATTTTCGCCATACTATGATATTTTCTGTGTATATGTGTCTAGTACATATGATGCGCAACGTACGGTTTAGGTTTTTTAATAGGTGAAAATGAAATAGTGATCCTACGCTATCGGTATACACTAGCGGCACACCGGTGAGGGATAATACCTAAGGATAACGTAGGACAGTTGGTCCATCATAACTCATTCAACATTAACCACGATAATTTCCAGCGGGAACCGCGTGGAGGTCGACTTGATAGGGTATATTGCTAACAAGGAGGCAGTTAGACACCATTACTAACAATTTCTTTGCCCCTATAGGGTTTAGGTTAAACCCTGATAAATTCTTTTAGCAAATGATAGGGTGTTGGTCTCATATTAAATTTGTTTTGAATAAAACTTTTTTGTGAACCAAAATCTTTAATTATATTCCTTTGTATGTATTAATAGCATATAGCGCACTTTGTTTAGATGAAACTTTTCCATACTTTTAATAAGAGAGCCATTCATCGTTCCTTTTTTCTGGAAAAAAGGGATCCTTATCGCTAACCCGTGACATCAGAAAATTAAAAGTGCCCCGTCATGCTTCGCCTATCTTAGAAATAGGGTGACTATGCTGTTGTGGGGCTTAATTAATTGGCGGTTGACGGTTCGACCCCGGACGAACATGTCCAACTATCACCCCCTGGGACAATTCACTCGCTTCCTTTCTGTCAAGTCTGTTTAAACGATAAAGCTGTCGCTTCATCTTGATCATTTAACTTTGGGTTTATCTAGCATGTTTATATAAGTAACTATTAGTGTAAATACGCAAATGCCACTTTATGTATAGTAGATATACATATATAAGTAAATATACGTCCTACTAATATGATTATTTGATGAGTATGAATACGTATGAGTTACATTAAAAGCTGGAGGATTTACTTTATTCTAGTAATACAAAGCTAACAAATCATAAAATCGCACATAAAGAACTCCGTAAAATTTAAAATAATCAGCAAATAAGGTTAAAGATTAAGTAGAATTCTTTACTTTATGTAGTAGCATAATAGATTCACTATGAAATTTTCAAGCTCTTTTAAATCGTGTCCGAATTAAAATAGAAATTTTCTTTCCTTTTTTCATTTTGTAATTTAGGTCAAATAATAAAATAGGTAATTTTGAAGATTTAAAAACAACTATCTATTTTATAATGTACTAGCTTTTACCTGCGACGTCGTCTGTTCGACTGGGATATACTTAATAAGTGGAATAAAAAAATTGCCTATACCTATTGTGCTTCATCCCATCATAGCATGTGTATATCAAATTTTATAGTGATTGATTATTCCGTCACGGTGCTGTAAGGTAACAAATAAATAAACTTACTTTTATACAAATAAATAAACTTATTTTATACATTTATAATATCTATAAGGTATTCGTAGCATTTATTAAAAAAGAAATAACAATATAATGCTATGCAGGTTGATAAAATTACGCAGTCTATTAGGTTTTATTTTTATTTTTAAGAAATATTTTTAATTCATCTGTTTATTATTTTGTATTTGTGTTACACGATTTCTCAACCGATTTATTCTCATGGTCATCTCATATCTAAACTAATATTATAAAATTAAAAGCTTCGACTTTTTGTATGTTTGTTTGTAATGGATAAATCCAAAAACTACTTAACCGATTTAAAAAATTCTTTCAGCTATAAAAAGCTACATAATCGGCTATATTTCACATAAAAAAAAACCATATGAAGTCGGAGCAGACCGCTTATATAGTTATAGAGGTATTATAGGTATATCTTAATTCAATAAATTATATAATGTATTTTGGATAAGTACTGAAAAAAAAAAAACAAAACAATAACAACCCTTAGGAATCGGGCATTTAGATGACCGCGTTAGTGATGCGAAAGTGTGCTGCGCCCACTCATGTCTGCAAATGACATATAATCGATAACTGCCGAGTATCGAGACATTCTATCCTACTTCGGTTACAATGATATTTATAAATAGAAATTAATCTAAGAAATACCTAAATTGTACATAGATCGGAACTTGTTCTTATCTATCAAAAATCTATAAGTATGAATGCCCACTTATAAGTATCTAACACGGGATTTGGCAGAACACCATTGAGGGATTATACGTGAGTTTCATACTAGCAAGTCGGATGACCCATTGTGATGAATACATACAGAATAGACCACGGTTTCTAGACAGAACCGCGTGGAGGTCGTGTGTATACAGTACGTTGCTAGTAAAGAATCTGCTAGTCTCATTACTAACAATCCTTTTTAATCAGTGTAAAAATAAGGAGAAAGTAGTATCTTTTTCCCTAGTAGTAAGTAGTTCACAGAAATATGAACAAGTAATTCATAAATAATATTTTTTATATTTACGTTACATAATTCATATTCCTCTAAAAACTAACTTGCCAAAGTATAGGGTAAACCACACAGTTATTGGTAAAGTAACGTAATTTCATTATGATTTTGATTATTTTTACACACATGTACATTATTTTCATATACATCACTTATGATATTCAGGGATCATGGCGTTTTTATATGAAGTGAAATTTTGAATACCTCTTTTAAAACCTCTAGTAAGTTTTTACAATTATTTCTTTTACAAAGTATATAGACCGATATTTTTTTAATTTTTTTAATGAGTAATATTGGTATGGTAACCCCACCCACGCTATCGGTATACACCGGCGAGGCACCAGTAAAGAATGATAGGTGAGGATGAAGCAGGTCAGTTAGCCCATCGTGACGAATTCAACAAGATTGTTCACGATGGTTTCCAGTGGGAACCACGTGGAGGTCGACCTAATAGAGCATATTGCTAGCAATGGGGCTGTCAAACTCCATTGCTAACAATCCCTTTTCCCCTGCCGATAATATATTAAACTGTTCAAAATTTTAAGCAGATAATATTAGTAATTGCTACAATAGAACACTGTAACAGATGAGCAAACGGATAAAGTCGCATTTTTTTTACAAGTTAGCTTCACTTAAATAAAAAACCCTAAAAAAAGTACTTAACATGATAACCGTGTTTGTGCGTTTGATATGTGCTGGTGGGACGGGACATCGGTGAGGAATAAAAGTAGGCGGACTCAGTAGGTGGGATCAAGTGAGGTGATATTAAGTCAGTTTAATTATCGTGACGAATATTAAACTGAAACTACTGCGTGGAAATCAATCTGCAATGTATATTGCTATCTTTGTGACAATGGGGCCGCTAGTCCCCATTACTAATAATCTCTCCTCCCGAATGAGTACCTATTTATAGTAGAGGAAATCTGAAGGTAGTCAATCGCCAGTTATAGAAAAGTTGAGAAGCACTCGTTTTCTAGTTTGAACTTATTTAGTATAACATATCACAGGCAAGAAGATAACTTGATAGAGTGTTTAGTACATGTTTAACATAAACAGGTTAAATTCCCCGTAACAGTGAACAGTTCACGATAGCCGAAACTTCAAATTCAAAATACTTATTCATTCTGCATAACACTGTATGAACAGCTATTTACTTAAGAATAATATAATTAAAATTGAACGATATTTACTTATCAGTCTTCACTTTAACATGTTTCGTATTACCTAAAAATCATTATCAAATTATTGTTAGTCATAAATTAAAAATATAATTATTATTTTACCTTAAATACATTATAAAATTCTATGCCGGAATACAAACCTTCCCTTTCCCGAGGATAAGTTAGAGAATGGCGATTCACAATCGATGGCAGTGAAACAATACTATTATAAGGATTCATTCCCAGATACTCTCATCTATATACATATATCCTTATTCTATGACTAAAACAAAACCAAACATAAATAATAAAAAATATATCTAATTAAATCCTGTCGGAAATTTAAGAATGAAATCTGTGGGTTTATTTCCGAAATAAGTATTTAATTTATTATGATATAATAATATAGCAGTCTATGATGTTTTTTATTGCTTCTATACACAGATATAAGGAAAATGAACTTAGATAAATAACTATGATGTAAAATGTCAAGATAAAGAAAACTGAAAAGAAACGAATGAATGAAAGGAATGAAAGGTTTAACCTAAGTACAACACTAGTGAGACGCGCCGCGCCGCTTACTACTTATCTATATATCTGCTTACATCTGTCACGTTTTTATACGTTTATTTTGTTAATAAATTTAGCACAATAATAATGAATTAGTAAATAACTGTATCCATATTCGATCTAAATGAATCATCTACGTTATTCTGTAGTGTCTAGTATAATAGACACTATATAAAATTTATTAAAAATGGATCAACAATTTTCATTGTCCTGGAATAATTTTCACGGAAATCTGACTAAAGGATTTGCCAGTTTACTGGGTAAAGGAGAATTTGTCGACGTGACTATTGCCGTAGAAGGCCATGTTCTACAAGCACACAAAGTCATATTATCAATATGTTCACCATATTTCAAGAAAATGTTTCAGATGAATCCGTGTCAACATCCAATTGGTATATCACATTTATTGCATTTTTTTTTTTCATCTTAAAGAGAAGCAGATATCATTAAAATTATCTACTTAATTGGTAATCTAATATTCATTGTAATAAATATTCTTGTAACCGACCAGATACGCAATATTAGCCAAATTGATAATGCAAATAAAAATCTTAAATTTTTGTGAAGGATTTGTCCCTTGAAATTTAGAAGTTTTTTAAAGATTTTTCCTACACTTTTGGAATAGCAAAATAAACTCAACGAATGTTACCAATTCCTGAGGAAAAAGCTATGCTCCTGTATCCATTACAAATTTCTTGCCTATATCCCTAATGTTCCACCTTTTAACAGTGTCTTTGGCATCTTTAAATTGCTGTAAGAATATAAATTTGAAAAATGCCCTATTGGTAAAATAAAATTACTATTTATTTATATATTGTTATATATATGTATTGATTATGATTGCCCTTAAAATATATCAGTTAAAATTCAATTAACTTAATTGAAATTTAACTGATATATTTTGTATGTATACTACTTATTACTATATAAATTATAAGACTAAAAACCTAAATATTCTTAAAATGATACAGAACAGAAATCTACTCTCGAAGAATCTACTTTATGGTACAAATTTGAGCAAAACTGAAGTATTCATGTAGTTGACTTGTGTAGTCTATTTTTAATACCGTGTCATACATTATACTATATCATGTAAATGCTAATTAAATTCAAAACACTGGCACATATGATTATTAACTAGTATATTGTATGTATATTTACAGTTGTCCTAAGGGATATTACATACAAAGCCATGAGAGATCTATTACTGTTTATGTACCATGGAGAAGTCAGTGTGAAACGAGAAGATCTCACTAGTTTTATAAGTACAGCAGAAGTATTGCAAATCAAAGGATTGACAAATAAAGAGGTAAGATATATAATTAAACTAACTGTAATTAAATTTAGTATACACGTATTATATAAGATGAAGAAGAGTATAAGCTTCTTTTTATCCCAGTCAGTAAACATATCCTGATCATGTGAATAAAATTATAGATAAAAGCCAGTTTTTTTAATGGGTAACAATGGAATGGTTACCCTGCCTACGCTATTGGTATACACTGATGAGGTTCCAGTGGAAGATGATAGGTGAGAATGAATGCAGGTTACAACAACAATTAACCATGATGGTTTTCTTGGGGAACCATGTGGAGGTCGACCTGAGAGTGTATATTGCTAGCAATGGGGCTATTAAACCACATTACTAACAATCCCTTACCCCCCAGGTAAAAGCCAGTTCAAACAAATTGGATTAACTAATTAGTGAGAAATGTGTTATGAGAAACCAGAGATTCAAAATCCAAAAGACACAATCTGAATAAATTTAGAAGATTTTATTTCCTAAATTACCCTAGAAATAAAACCTTTTTTAAATTTTAAACACAAAAATTTCCAAGAAAGTTAACAAAACACTTATTTAAAAATAATTGTTTGATTTTGTTGTAATTAAAAGTAAATATTTTTTATTTATTATTTTATGGAAAACATAAAAATAATATTTGTATAACTTATTATTTTAGACTGAAGAAGATACTGAGAAAGAACAGGAATTACCAAAACATGCAACTGAAAATAACATTACTGATGGGGATTCACATATATCAGACACATTTGATACAAATGCAAACTTAAATGATGAAACAACTCAAAACAATGACCTAGATGTGCTGAAACATAGACAGTTCATAGAAAAGCTACAAAAATTCAGTAATTTAAAAAGAAAATCAGATGAATTCATTCAAAAAAGTTACTATTCTGATATTCTAAATCCAGAAAAGAAGCCTAAGATTAAAGAAAAATCGCCATATAACCAACAAAGCAATCACATGTTACAAAGTAACAATTATGAAAACTTGAAAAGTTTTTATGAAGACAGAAATGATATTTCAACGTTCAAATCACAAGTACCAAATACTTGTAATTCAGAGGCAGAAATAAATGATAAGAGTAAAGACCAATCACCTTCCAATAATTCGCTTGATGTAAAAACTGAATGTGATGATATGGACATCATAGTAACAGATCCTGCAGTTTGCACCACTCCAAAGAGTTATGATGGGTCTAGAGACGGAAAAAAAGATGCAACACTTCCTGTAGACTACCAATCTCCTCAAGACAGTAAGTCATTATTTTATTTATTCTATCATGATTTTTTTATGTTCATTTTAGCATGCCAGTGCTAAATCATCATTCATTTTATTTTTTACAATGTAGTAAACATTGAAATTTTAAAGTTTTATTCATACATAATTTGCTTACTAATAATGCTTTACATCAATCCTCTGTAAATAATAGAGATTGTGTTGAAAATGCAATCATTTTAGTTCCCATTCAGTATTATTTTCTTTTGCAATTCCTTTCTGTTGTGAAAACACGATGGCATTTTCAACATCATTTTTATTATAAAACACCCACAATACTATTAACATATTGTGTAATGAAAATGCCCATCGTGATTTCAGATTGTACCAGTCTAAACTCATTATTCATCGACCTAAAAAACTTAGTGAATGGTAAGGTGACTAACAACATGTCGAGAACTAACGTGAATGAAGAATTTCTGAGGCCAACAATGGATCATCGGTTAATAACGATTCCTCAGAAAGAAGATGGAAAAAAGAAGTACCCACAACGCTCATGTCGGCTTTGCTGGAAAATAGGCAAAAGAAGGGACACCCGATTCATGTGTAGTGCTTGCGAGCTACCTTTCTGCAAGTCACCATGCTTTGAGATACATTTCAATGACGTATTAAAAATATCTCAGTTGCAGGGCGATTATTATGCAACTTAAAGCTCTCTTTGCTCATTTTTTCAAAATTATATTTTTGTAAGATTGGTAATATATAAGAGAATATTTAAAAATCACGTGATAAAAAGCTAGTATTTAAAAATATATGAATTTTATACATGAACAAAAATTGAATCATAGATTCTGATGTAGTGGGGACCAAATAAAAATTTACAATTAACAAATTAATCTGCAAATATAATATATGTTTACTATCATATAAATTTTAAAAAGGCACTATTTGATAAATCAAAATAAAAAATTTAATATAAAAATTTAGATTTATACATAGTTATAAAAACATAATGACATACATTTGCCATAATTTAATCTTGAAGCACAATAAGTTAAGTATCTAGCTGTGATAATGGAAATCTGCTCTCAAGTGCCAATCAATAAAACTTTCTATGACATGTGAAATTTATGAGTAATATATTATTTTCTATTTTGGTCTGTGCCATGAGTTATTACCATAATTATAGGTAGACTTTTTTATTGCTCATATTCTAGTCTATTTATTATATTAATGTAGGAATTTAATTCTGTATTTTTTAAACATTTGTATTATGTTAATTAGAATAGTGAGCTTGTTTCAATATTGTAATAATTGTCATGTTTTTTTTTTTACATTTATCTTATGCATGACCAAGTTGAGAATTTACTTAAATAATTATTATGATCTCCGATAGTGTTTTTAGTATTACTTTAAAGTTAATATATGGAGATTACATTCCTAATAAAAGAAAAGACACCATTTGTTTCTACTCCATAACATGAAAATATCTCTGTATTGAAATTGTAATCTTGGAAATTATTTTTTATACTTAATGCTTTGTGTGACATTATGCTGCGTGTGATTTTGAATGATTACAACATATAAGAATGTATTTTTATATCTATATTTAATTAAAGGATTACAAACAATAATTTTATTATTTTTACTAAACCAACATTATTAATTCGATTTACATATTATTTATCAAAAAATATTTACTCAAAATTAATGTTCCTTTTAATTACAGGTGCCCTATCACTAGTAGTGAATGGAAATTGTGAAAATCATCAGTTGCCAAAACGCTACAAATATATTTATAGTAGGAAAGGACATAAACAATTAGTGCATATGAACTTTGTGTACACCAAACATTCGACGACGCATGGTAAAACGTCATGGCGGTGTGTCCAGTATTTTTCACTAAATCGATGTCCAGCGACCATTGAAACAATAGACGCAATGATCTATGCAGTCAACCATCAACACAATCATGAAGATTGTTATGAGAAACTTGCTAGAAATAACATATATGAAATGTGTGTATCACCAAAATAGAATATTCACTGTATATAAATATCAGTGGAATCTAAAAAACTGTAAAGTTCCTATATTTATTTTTAAAATCAAAGTTACTGTACCCTTTGTTAATAAAACAATTTTTTTTTTTTTATTAAGGAATATACATATTCAAGGGTGCATCTAGTCAGATAATGTTTCCTTTATATGTATTGATAATTGATTACCTACAAAATACGGAAGTTAATTATGATTAAATCAATTATTATTTGTATAATTTATTTATAATAATAAAATATTTATTTACATTTTAATAAACTTAAGTAATATTTATATCTTGACACATTTTGACGTCACTGTACTTTTCGCAGCAAGCATAGCTGCCATCCTCTTTCTTGGTCTATGTTTTTTACTGAATCCAACACCTGCAAAGATAAAATAAATTATTATTATTAAATATTTTAAAAAGGATTTTATTTTATAACTCTTTAAATAAACAGCGTTTCAGAAGTTACGTAAACCCGTCGTCCGGCGAGCTTCTACAGGCGGTCCGTTTTATTCCCAATGGCGTCACTTTATGTAAATATTAAAGACTCGTCCCGGTGTCGCGCGGGTGGACATTTTTACATTTTAAAAAGTGGCCATTAAGGCTGCACACGCAACGGAAACTTAAAAATGGAGTAACTTCTCCCGTTTTCCCAACATTTCCCTTCATTACTCTGCTCCTATTGATTGTAGCGTGATAAAAAGTATACTATAACCCAGGAGTATGAAGAATAATTGTACCAAGTTTCGTTAAAATCCGTCGAGTAGTTTTTGTTTCTATAACGAACATACAAAAACTGTACTAATTGCATTTTTGGCATCAGTATCGATCACTGATCACCCTCTGATAGTTATTTCGGAAATATATTTCATGTACAGAGGTCACTCTCTACAGATTTATTATAAGTATAGAAGATAAGTTTCTGTCGAAGGTAAATGGCATTATTTCTTTTATAAAAGCAGTCATCATAATTTCCAATTTATAACCCGAGTATGACCACTTAAAAATTTTAGGTCAGACCGACAGTCCATTAGAAAGGGCTGATGCCTATCGTTGCTCCTCTCTCACGGCCTTAGAGTGCCGTCTGCACACGCGTTCGGTTAAGCTGTAAAGGCTATCTGCGGCCAACAGCAAAAAACGGTTACAAAAAAAAGACGTCAGGCCGAGAATATAAATAATTTTTTGATTTACTTACGAACATCTATGTCTGGTTTCTCTTTCAATCCAAATGATTTAGCAACAACATCAATGTCTATAGTCAAAAGGTTAAAGATGTGTTTATATTTTTTAACCTCAAGTGCTCGAATGTAGCCTTCAAAAGCTTCAACAGCTAATCGGCGGAAATTTTCATTCGCCAAAGCTGCCTCTAACTGAAATAAAAGAACATATATATTTCTTTTGCAATTAATTTAAACTGAACAAAATAATTTTTAATGGGAATAAACAATGAATTAAAATAATATTTCACAAATAAATCTAGGAACTTCAATCGTGACTAAATTAGTACAGGATCAACACTAGATTACAAAATAATCATCGAAATCGGTGAATATATTGCCAAAGATATCTTTCGATATACCCGAAAAAATTTTAAACTGCCAATCATCAGAAGTCAGGGCAAAATTTAAGACCAGGCAAATTTTATAACAGCACAATATATTCTGATTCACAGTATGTCCATGATATACATATGTATATAGGCGACGAATACCTTTCTCGACAAGGGCACCACTTTTTAAAAAAAAACACGTGTAAAGCCATATATGGCTTTACACGTGTTTTTTTTTTTTAAAGTGCATACCTGGTAAAAAATGGTCACATTTGCGATGATTAAAAATAATAATTATAGGCCAAGAGGGGAGCCGAATGGTAAAGACGTTCTTAAAGGGCCAGCTCAATGGAAAATAAATACGTAATACCTAACGTACACATGTAATTTAAATAAAAACGTATTTGTTACCAATTCGCACTATAACCGCTCAACCAATCTTTATGAAATTTGATGCATTAGCCATGGAAAAGGACATGAAATTTATGCGCGCGTGACCATGATATAAAGAAGCCATTTATTATCGCGATCACAGGACAAACTCGGCAGAAGTAATAAAACGAAAAATATAATCATTCATACCTTTGGTTGTAAATTGTAATAATTATCCCATGTTTCATATTTGTCTAAATAAATTTTGGCATCTTGCAAATGGGTAATAAATTCTTTTTCCTCGGGTCGCAACAACAATACGGCGTTACCGGCTGCACCCAAACCTCTAGCAGTGCGTCCCACTCTATGTATGTATTCCTAAAAACAAATTATATACAGTGAATGCTCTATACAAGCAACCTCTCTATAAGCAACATTCTTTATATTTTATTTATTCTACTTAGCTTAGTTACTAAAAGAAATAAGTAAAAATATTTTCCAGACAGTAAGTATTTTATACTCTTTTTTTCCCTGTAAGTAACTTTTCCTAAATAAGATTTTTTTTTATTGAAATTGGTTCAAAGAGTTGCTTATATATGGTGTTCGCTATATTAGGAGAACATTATTTCAATTTAAAGTATCAGAAAAGATGAGAGATTTAAAATAAAATAATCAAATTTTAGGCATATGTATTTTTAATATAGTTGAAACGTTGAGACAATCCTAGGTAGGTTAACCCCAATCTCTTATGAGCCATAAATCATATGATGCGAGTTAAAATTATTTTTTTATACCTCTGAGGTGGCAAACAGGCATACAAGATACGGTACTCACGGACCCAACATATACGGTAATCGATTACCGTAGTCTATGAACGCCTGCAATATCAGGAGCAACCTGATCGTTCGTGGGAGGAAACATCTCTGAAATCGCGCTGTATACGACTATCTAGACTCTAAGGTCTTTTATGTCCATGGTACTGCTCATGTCAATAGGCGACGGTTACCACTTTTCATCAGGCGGGCCGTCAGCTTGTTTACCATTCTAAGTCGTATAAAAAAAGGCATGTTGATGGCGGACTGTTCGATGGTAGAAAGTAACTGGGCACTACTTTGAACAGTTCCCCTGAACACAGTCCATTGTATAAACGGTAGAACGCAGTGTGAAGAAAAATCTCTCCTAAATCTTAACAGTTCGATACCCATAGAAAAAGACCCTAGACATTAACATAAAAAATGTAACTTTGTTCCGTAATGATCCGAGGTCTGACCGATAGTAAAAAATGAAATATCACTTCCATCATTTTATATAAATTTCGCAAGTACATCTAACTTGTACAATAAACGAATTTATTATATTTAATTTTTCTCAACAGATAGATTTTCGAGACTGCACATACCAATTTAAAAGAGGTTTCTATAATCCTACTTATGTAAGTTTATTTTTAATCCAATTTAATTAATAATTAAATAAGCACATACAGTGCCATATAATCTTACATTTGTATCTGATGGTGGATCAAACTGAACTATCCAATCCACTGCTGGTATATCCAGACCTCTGGCAGCCAAGTCTGTACAGAAAAGAGCCATTTTCTCTGCATTGTAAAAGTTTGATATTGTTGTTGTCCTATCTGCTTGACTCATTTTACCCTGAAATAAGAAAATACAAATAATAAACAGTTCGAGACATAATACAAAGCGCCGTCTAGTCCCAAACTTTGTAAAATTTTCAGTTTGTACTATTGATAATAATTGATACAGCAACAGCCATAACTTTTGTATAAACAATACAAAACATAGAATCCGCAAAATTGGTAGGTGCTAAGAAAGCCAATGCTGTTGATCATGAAACATCCTTTCTCTAAACCTATCTCTGATATTATAATTTCAATTTAATTTTTTAAACGTCTAATTTTTTTAATATAATTAAGTCAAAATTTTTATAAATTTACCCCTTTATTCATAAAAAATATTAAATATCTCAATCATATTTTAGCTATTGAACTGTTTCTTTCTTTTGCGTTAAATTCGTAATTTGAAATAAAGTGAAAAAAAAAACAGTTCAGTAGTTTAAATTGTAGATTTAATTTTTGTGAATAAAGAGGTTAGTTTACGATGGTCGATAAAATAGTAATTTCGCGAAACTATTGCAGTAAAATATTAAGAGATAGGTTTAGACAGCGCCTCAAAATAGACCCAATATCGCATTACAAATTAATATTATATTTAGCTGACTGTAATAAAGTAAAAATCTCTTAAATGTCTATTCTATCCATTTTTTTTATCGGTGAAAATGGTATGGTAACCACGCCTGCGCTAACGGGATACGCTGGTGGAGCACCAGTGAAGGGTGATAGATGAGAATGAAAACTGGGCCAGTTAGCCCATCATGATGAATTCATCAGGAATTAACCATGATAGTTTCCAGGGAGAACCGCGAGGAGGTCGACCTGGATGGATATATTTCTATCTATTATAAATATAGTGTTTTGATACTTTTAATTAAGAAATTAGTGCAAAAAACAAAACACTTCAATAACTAAAACATCTAGGTTTATAAAACATTTGAGATTTTTTTAATAAAAGGCTAAAAGCCATTGTTGCAATTGTTTAAACATAAACTCTAACATTTAACTTAATAATTAGCAATTAATATTATGTCTAAAACTTACATGAATGCACAAAACTGAAAAATTACAATGGGTTGCAAAAAATTCATGGTGATATTCAGCAGACTTACAACTAGAGAAGAACACCATCACTTTTTGATTTTTGGTTTTTTTCAACAATTTGTGAAGCCACCATATCCTGTATTCCGTTTGGCATATTACATACCTGTAAGTAATTTTTATATCTTTATGCAATCATTTTTAAGATTCATATTATATACATTTAGAAATCTCATATTGGTTCTATTCAAGAATGATTAGTTGAAATGCCAACAATAAGAAACAAATACACAGTTTTTATTAATTAATATTTGTAATATTAATATAATAAGAAACCCTAATATTGGGACCAATTATTCTTAGGCACCATTACTCTAAATCTATCTTTTAACCTATTATTTCAATTTGATAGTTTCTCAAAATTACTATTTTATAGGATATTATAAACTAAAATTTATTTATAATAATTTTAACTTACATCTACTAGAAATTTAATATTGGTCATTAGAATAAAAACTTCACTGTGATATAAAAATCCAAATTTTAAATTTAGAGATAGGTTTAAGGAAATGGTGTCTCAGAATCAGCTCTATTGTTATGTAACTAATTTTAAGTACCAGGTATTTTTTTAAAAGATAATGAAATAGTAACCCCCTCTGTGTTATCTGTATATGCTGACAGGACATAACATATGATAGGTGAAGATGGAAGCAAGTTGATTTGCCCATCATGCCAAGTTCAAAAATAATTAATCATGATGGTTTTAAGGATAACCACACACTCGTATAACCTGATATGGTACTACTAGTAATAAGGTTGACAGTCCCCATAACTAGCAATCCCTTCTTACACCAGGTATTTAGATATTTACTGTTACTACTTACCCTTGTTTCAATCCATCTACAGTAGCTTTTAAATTATCTTCATCAGTATTTATAGTTTCAACATCATCTTTCATTGCAGATTTTATCAAAGCCTCAGTTGTTTCTGAATGTGTAGCACTAAATAACATTGTCTGTCTATCCTCTAAAACAATTTACTTTATAAACAATTTGAAATGGCTCTTTTTCAATTTTAATTCTTTATTAGCTATAGTATTATATATTGTTAACTTCACAAGTAGTTAATCAAAATTTTTGAATTATTTTTTAATTAACTCTTTAAATTTAATTACCACAAATGTACTAATTATTATATCGATGTTATCAATATAATTAGTTAATAATGTTAAGAATTTTTTTTTTCTAAGGATGAAACTTGTCTGAATAAAAGCTTATTTTTTTTATTAATTTAGCAATTGAATTAAATAATTAAATGTAAAGTTATATGTACTCACTTGGTAACCGATTAATAATTTGCTTTAAATCCTCTTCAAAACCATATTGAAATATTTTGTCAGCTTCATCTAATACTAGACATTTTACTAGGCTATAATCAAATTCTTTTGTTCTCATGTGGTCAAACAATCTGCCTGGAGTAGCAACCACTATATGAACACCTGAAAGATGATAAAATGGCGATTATGTTTTTTAACCAGTGCAGTAAGAAAAACAAAAAAGTAAAATTGTCCAATTAAAAAATTATTATATTGTTTACTAGCAACTCTCCCCGGCTTCGCACAGGTACAATGCTGATACTAAATACCGCCGGCCCACCATTATATTACAACATTACATTAGTAACCTCTAAATTTATCAGTATTTCTCTACAATATTATGCATATAAACCTTCCTTTTGAATCACTCTATCTATTAAAAAAACTCACTTCAAAATCCATTGTGTAGTTTTAAAGATTTAAGCATACATAAGGATGGACAGACAGTGACAATGACTTTGTTTTATACTATGTAGTAATATACATTTATCATTTCTTTTTTCTCCTCCACAAAAGTGTAAGCAAATGCTTTTAAATTTTGTTTTTTTCATTTCTGAAAGTTTGTCTAATAAAGCTTAAATACAGATGTATTTTCAAAAAGGTCTAGTACAGCATGATGTTTGTTATCAACTAATAGCTAATATCAATGCAAGTAGTTTAGTTATGACATTTTTTGATTTGCATATAAATTTATATATTTGGTATATTACAAAATATTAATACAAAGGCAAGTACATTAAAAAAAAAATATTTATTTATGATAGTATACAAGTACTTACTCAGATACAAATACTATTCCTATTTATACATGTAATAGAGTTAGGTAAATCAAAATTGAAATAAATGAGCTGCTATGAAAATCTTTACAAATGGCTTTAAAAAAGAGGGTCTCAATTCTATTCTATTTTTCATTGTTTCTTACCTTATAACTTCAGCATATATAAAGTAAATTGAAAAATTAATTTTTATCTGCAAGGACATACTTTCAGCCCTTTTTGCCCCATAAAAAATTTAACAAAATTAGTTCAGTTTTTTAATAAAAAAATAAATAAATAAATAAATAAACTTGTTTTAACACAATTAATGTAATTTTCTTTTTGTGGAAATAATCTTAAACTTATGGTAGTGAAATTTCTTTAGTATTTTTATTCTTAAAAAAATTACCCCAGTTGGTAAAAGTATGTACAATGTCTAATGAAATAGCTAGTAATAACATACAATTGCATTATAATATTAAAATTCTATAATAAGTATTTAACATGAATCTTTCAGATACCTTGAGATAACTCAGCACTTTGTTTCTTTCTGCTCTCTCCACCAATGATCAAACTTGAAGTGATTGTTTCATGATATCTTCTAAGATCTTGTAACACTGTGTATGATTGCATAGCCAGTTCTCGTGTGGGTGAAACTATAATGCAATATGTACCTTAAAATAAAATGCAAAAAGAATTATACAAAACTGATTGTTATATATGATATTTTGAATGTAAACAAACACTGCAAAAACAGAAAAAATGCAGTCATTTCCGCAAGGATTATAAAAGTAATGTAATACAGAGGTTTGTATGTAATTTTCTCTTCCAACTTTTGTGAATAAGCAAGTCAGTGAGAGACTTGTAATAAAATTCTATAAACATAAATTACCTTGTCTTTCTTGAGTCTGAGAACATTGAAGGACTACCTCTAGCACAGGAATGAGGAAAGCTAATGTTTTTCCAGAGCCTGTTTTTGCTGTAGCTACAATATCAGCTCCGTCTAAAGCTTTTGGCAACACTACAGACTGAATATCAGTCATATATTTAAATCCCATTTGTTTAATACTTTTTAAAGTTGCTGAAGATATTTTTCCCTTCAAGGATTTAAATTTTGTACCCTTTATTAATTCCTCGTCTGTCTCCATTTCCTTCCTAAGATAACATTACTTGTAATAATAACTATATTTAAATATATAAAAAAAAATACATGAAACAATGTGAAGTACTCATGCATTAAAAATACAAAATGTAAATAAAAAAGACACATGGACAGTACCAATGACAACTTGACATGTCAATAAGCGCTAAAAGAATATAACTAAGGTAAAAGAGAACGCACTTCATACAAGCAACGTAAAACGAATTGGTGAGAATATCTGACCATATACGCAAAAATCCGTCCTTTCTCGTTATGTTGGCCAGCCTGATATTCAAAATGGAAACGAAAAAGGGTTAATATAATTTATTACAATTATAGTATATTTTGATAATAGAAATGCAAATCATGTGATAATAATAAATATATAAATTTTATGTATAATTGCATGCTCCGATGAACATTTTTTAGCAAAAATAAAACAAAAGATAACATTCTTAATTATATCTCAATTTCATAACATTATTGATAGTAAACAAAAGTTTTAAACACTTACCATAATATTTGGTCAATTTCTAGAGTAGACCTCGTAATAGAGTCGATGTTAATTATAGTCGTAATTCGCGTCAAAATAAAACAAATATGAAATACAAAGCAAAACACTGTTCCACAATTAATTTAGATTTGCATCATATTGGACAGTATTTTTGTTAGTTAAGTTGGCGCCTCTGTTATTTTATCATTTGAATAAACGTTAGCATCATGTTTTTTTACCAAATCCGTACATTAAGAGCATCATCCGTACATTAAAAATAGAAGATACGCGAGAATAAGTATGAGGTAACTTTGTCATAACAAAGATAAAGACGGGTCCACGTCATTTCAAACAAAATTTTTTTAATAAATCTGTGTAACCTGTCCATTGTACTTACAAATTTTAAATAAATAGGTCATGATACCTATCGACATCAATAGACTGACTAACACAGAGAACATATTAATAGTTGTTTTATTATTAATATGAGATATTTAATAAAAAAAAACTTTAGTAACGAGTTTATTTACTTAATGCCAATAGTGGTAATATTGAGTTTGCATTGCCTATTATGAAAATTTGAGTAAAAATGGATCTTAAAGTTTTTTTGTGACAGCTTGTATCTGAAATCGAGAGAGCGTTAACTAAAGTCTCTGATTGGGGACGACAAAACTTAATTCAGTTGAACCCCGCTAAGACATAAGGTTGCGGGTTCACCGCTAAAGAAATCCCATTTGCTGTGGTTCCATAATTCCAGAGCACTTCTCTTAACATTTTTAAAAACATTGAGATCCTTGGTGTCGACATCTCTAGTGACGTATAGTTCCGTGGCCACCTCGAAGGTAAGATTAAGCTGACATCTAAAATACTCAGTGTGGTTAATAGCGCAAAGTAATACTTCACATCGGATTAACGATTAATGCTCTACAAATCACAAATCCGGCCCCACATGGAGTACTGCTCTTACTTATGGGCAGGAACACCTAGTTACCAACTTGAAGTCTTCGACCTAGTCCAACAACGAACTATGAGAATTGTTGATAATCTTAAGCTTACAAGTGGTATCGAATCTTTAAGTCTTTGAAGAGATTTTGTCTCATTTTGCGTGTTCTGACGCTTGTACAATGAACTGTACTCAGAGGATTGTTTAATACGATGTCCACGGCCACTTTCTATCATCGTACACCCTCATACCCTAAAGTTCACTTTCATGCCTTAGAGCCTAGAGGGTCGTGTACAACGCGGTTTCAGAGATGTTTTCTTCCATGAATGCTCAGGTTATAGAATGAGCTCCTTGTCGAGGTTTTCACAAGAGACTACAGCATATGATTCTTCAAAAGGGGGGTACAGAGGTTTCACCTCGTATCACAAGTAAAAGCTAAAGACTGTATTATTATCTATAATATTTATGTTATGTATTATTAGAGTAATAGGCTTTAATAGTAAATTAACTACGTAATCCTAACTTTACATGTATATGCTATATTCTTTAGCATATACATGTATATATACATGTATATATAATATAAAGATTGTAAGCTTCTTAGTAATAAAGAGATATGAAGCACAAATACTCACAGTTCATTTACTTTAGAAATCATACTATTAAATCATATTTATTTTTTACTTAGTATATAATAAATAATATAAAATAAATAATATAAAATAAATACCCAACTTCTGTTAATCCATTAACACTTATTTAACTATAACTTCTTTAGAATTTTCATCAAAAATAATTGTGATATATTTTGTATAATGACCACGTGGTTCACTTGGTACCTCTGGGAGGCCCACTCTATTCAACAGTTAAGTGAGAAGTCTCCCCCCACCTAAATAACAATCTTTTATATCTACAGAGCCGAATTCGAGTAAACAAGTCAGCGAAACCACGTATTCTTACAATTTCATTACTTTTATTTAAGTATCATGATAATAAATAAATATAAAATCAATTTAAATATAAATCATTATTTTATACATAATACAAGAATAACTTATTGCAAAATTTGGTATAATAACTATTTTCACATTATATTGTTTTTAAAGTAGTCAGTAAACAACTGATGGTATTTCTTTTGTCCTCTTTTTACTAATTATATTTGTATAAGAAAAAAGGAGGCAACCATATGATTTACAGTTTTCTTTTATCATTCCTTCTAATGTAATTCCTTATTCTTAAATCTGGATTACATGCTCTGTGCCCTATGTGATGATTACGTGCTCTGTGATGCAGTGTTGACAAATTACTGTTTATGTCAATTTAAATTTAAGTTTTCCGCCTTGTTTTATTATGACGAATTCAAACAAGAGCAACAACAACATAGCAGATAAATATTTTGTTTTGTTGTTTTTTATTGTGTTCTCTATTAAATGAGTTAATAAAATAAGCAGAATTTAAAATGATTTACGGACCTCTTCATCGTTTTCTTTTACGTTCAGTAATTAGTCAAGGTGTAATATCTTTATCGGAAGCTGAACGACTTCTTAATGGAGGTAAGTAAATAATTGTTTAATGATTTGAAAATAATTATGCAGTTTGAATCGTCCAATATTTTTACTTTCTACTAATTCTTTAGTATAAAATTCTATCATTAGTCAAGTTATTGCTGTTAAAATAGGTTATATTAACTAAGCACTGTATTTTTCTATAAATTTATTCGATTTATAGGAAAATAAATCATGACATTTCTTTAACTACCTATTTGATTTTTTTTTAGGGTATATTGCTAACAATGGGATTCTCAGTCTCCATTACTAACAATCCCTTTCCCCCTACCTATTTGAGTACAAGTTATACCTGTGATTTGGTGTGTATAGGAATGGTTGACTATTCCTTCTTCATGCCTATTAATAAGGCTATTAGTTTTTAATATGAAATAAATAAGTATTTACTGATTCAAGATGAATAATATGTTTTTATCGTTTCAGAAGAGCAACATAAATCCTTACAAGATTTGGTGAAAGAGATTAATGATGCGATAAGACCTTATCAACAAACACTAAAAATTACAAGAGATGAACTGACTGATGAAGAGGTCATTGTATTTTTGTCACTAGGGTATGATGAGGCAACTAAAGCACAAAATGTGTTCTCAGCAACAGAGTTAGAATACTTTAGGATTCTTATTGAGCAGATAATGACAACAGAAGCTAGACAGGTTACCAGTTTAAATGCCATTAATTTGGTAGGAAGTATGAAATCATCCTTTACCAAGACTGATGCACAAGTAAGTTGCAATTGTACAAAATGACTGTCTAATATTTTGTAACAAGGAAAAATGCTTCAATTTTCATATAAAATTAATAAGGCATTATATCAAAAGGTTAAACCTTTCTAATTAAAAATGAGAATTTTAAAATCAGCTTAGACTTAATAAACATATGACTTAATAAACAACTGCAAAATATTTATATTTATAAGATATATCTTTAAGGAAGTTGTTACTTTGTACATAGGCATATTTAAGAGTGGGCTGTGTGATCTATGCCTGCTTCAGAATTGTCTGGTGCTTCCTCAAGTATCAAGAGGTCACCTATGAGCAGGGACATTAAAGAGTACATGTGTTTTTTGTAAGGGGCCATACCGCTATGTAAAATAATTTTTAATATGTCAATATATGTATATATAACATGTTTTTTAAAACCATGCCCTTGATAGTAGTTGAAATTATTTATTTATGTTGATTATATACATATTGATGTATTAATATTTATCATATAAAATTTTCAGAAACTTCTTAATACATGGTGTCGGATGAGATATCTTGAAAAAGAAGAGAACAACTATGCTTTGGGCGTAAGAGCTATTCATGAGTTTGAAAGCTATTTCCGTCAAAATATGCCAGATGTTGTTGAAGATTGCTGTTTATGTAAGCAAATAGTTCTACGAGTAAGTATTACATAAAAATAAACATGACAAAATCATAAAATAAACCAGTTAGAACTCAGTATATGTATAATATATATATATATATATATATATAAATAAATAACTCAGTTTGCAGATGGTGCTGTTGTCCAGTAGTAAAATAAAAAAAATCATTATAGTGGCCTTCCACCTTTTTTACACAAATTGGCCTGTTAACATTTGTTAGATTTCATTTAGTAGATATATAGAGATTAAATTTTATCTACTCATTTTATAATTTATTGTACCATTATACAGTAAAATTTTATCATAATTTCCACCACCAAGATCTATAAGCGAGAACCACCACTTTTGCTATTTCAGTATAATATATAGTTCCAGAATTTTTTCCCTAATATCTGTTGAAATATGGTTTGAATATAAGAATTATTATTATGATATATAAGTATAATGTTAATTGATATAATATTATAGTTATTGCTTTTTCAGGGCTTCAATTGTCCCTCATGTAGTCTTGCTGTTCACAATCGTTGTCTTAAAAGATATTTAGAAAAAGTTGAAAAATGGCCCTGTTGTAAGACAGATTTTAGTGCATCTCAGTTGGAACAATTGCGTAATGCAGACCAGTGAGTATTTTTTATATAATTAATGACTTTCTGAATTTCAAATAAGTGAATATTACCTAAAATTTTATTTACATAAAACTATTTACCTAACTGTTCATTTTAATTTAGACTATGATATGCTAGCGATTGTTGTATAATTTTTTAGTATAAAACATGATCAAATTTGTTGTTGTGATGGTATAATAAACACAGCAACCATCCTATTTGGATGGTATTATGTTTTAGTCATCTGAAACTTGATGGAATTTGAACACATATAAAAGAAAACAAGTATAAATAAGTCGATAATTTATAATTGTTATAAATATTATTAGAATAATATGTATATCAGTTCCAGAGTGTCACATACACAACAATCGCAAGAGTCGGCAGAGTATAACACTATAGCAGAACTAACTCAGACAACTACTGCAGATGTGGACTTAACACAGCAAGCTCATGATTCTGAGGGCATTGTACCAGAGATTTCACAAAGAATCACTAGAAAGAGGAAACATCGTGAGTGAAGATGTAAGAGTACTTAGTTGGAACAGTTTTTGGTTTGTAGTTAAATTTTTCTTGATTTATTATGTTTGATACCAGAGATACTTGTATTTGGCATTTTCTGATATATATTGATTACATAGTAAGGCTATTATCACAAAATTTTCTAGTTGTGATAATGAGGCATTGTTAATGTTGATTAATAAAGTCTTACATTTCAAATATTTATTTTATTAAATAAAGTACTATATGTAATTATACATCAATCAATATTTAAACATAAAATCATATTGCTAAATATACATTTTCAACTTTACGTTGTACTATTTTTGCAGATTTAGGGTAAAAGTCTAACAAATATTTCCATTGTTCTAACTTCAAATATACTACATCGACGACAGTGCGAGCGCGGAATGAGAAATGATGAGCAATTCCGACAAATAGACCCTGTTAATTAATTGATTAATTGACATACACAAGAAATAGTAAATAAACTCTTTGTCCTCTTGATAGCAAGTATTTAATAGTAACCATGGCCTATAGAATATATATATATAATAACATATACTCTATGAATACATATTTTTAAATATCCAAGGCAGTTCAAACCAGAACTACAGCAAACAAACTAGGAAATAGAAAGTAATTACTAATTGTGTATTTCATTAATTATTTTGTACTAATTACGTATTTACAACTATTTTATGTGGCAGTGTTGGCATTTTAATTATGTATGAAATAAAATAACAATCACTTAAAAATTTTTTTACCTGTGCAATACCAAAGCTATCTTCCGGTCCTAATATATCATAAATCGATTCAGTTAAATTCGGATGGACAGTTAAAACTTCCACCTGCAAGTTTAATCAATTAAATTAGTCAAAACATCAATTATATATATTTATTTATTACTTATATATATGTAGTATTAATATAATCTTGTAAATACGATTTCTTATTCTTCTATAGTAATATCTATTTTTATTAAAATCATGAAATCTGATTACCTCTCCTCTATGTATAAAGTAGATGCATTGATCAGAATCGCCACATTGCACGATGTAGTTTCCAGGGAAAAATACACAGTGCCTCATCCACATGACTAGCATCCTTCGAAAGTCATCATCGGTCCTACTAAATATTATCGAGTCTCTTATATGACACCCGTATACAGCCTGCATTACTTGGCAGTGAAGTCGGAATGGCAGGGTGTTTACTAATTCTGGCATCTAAATATTGAGGTAATGTTTAGTTTTTCAATCGACTTCAAAAAAGGTGAAGAGGTTCGCAATTCGATTGTAGTTTTTTTTATGTTTGTAACAATTCCGTTATTTATAAACTGATTTTGAGACTTTTAGCAATCTGAAAGTATAAAGGTATACCATACCTGTATACTTGCAAATTGCTATTATAGAAATTTTGAAATTTTATCAAAATAGGTTTATAATGTTTACTGATTGTCGGTGTTTTTTTTTTTGTAGAACAAAATGTGAAAGACTTGTAAAAAATAAGGTCTGAATTTATTTTGTGAATGTTAAATGTTACGTGATTACATAATAATTTCTCAAGCTATTTGCCATTACTAATTACTACTACTACTAAATTAATTTTAAAATCGATAAGGATTTTTAGTGTTGGTCCGATTTTAATTTTGTGAAGTTGGAAGCTGTCGTTATTATTTGTGGAATAATTTCTACATGTAAACATTGCGTGTTGTAATTCCGCGTTTTAAATTCAAATGTTTAATGTAATTGTCATTCGTTTATGATAAAAGTTGCTTTTTTTTGCGGGACAAAATATATGTATGTCTAACTAATGATTTTGTATGGCCTTGATAGCGTATTGATAAGGCACGCTTTTTTATATTGGTTTAAATTCTAGATAGGTTAATTTACCAAACAAACTTTTATTATTCTTTATAGTTATGACTAAGTAGGTCAATATTTTTATTTGAATTATATTTTAATTGGCTTTATTTCAACTATTTAATATTTATTTATATAGAAAAAAAAATGTTTTAATAAGTATATTTTGATATCTCCCTAATTAATTGAGAAACTGTTGTTAGCGTGATTTTAGTTGTATTGTCACGATGTCGTTTTCTGATTTTTATTTATGATAGAATTATTTTTGGTAAAAGCAATGAATAGACAGATGGACAAATCAACAGGTGATGCAAATTTACTTTTGTGATACATTGCCTTTTTCTTTACGGAGCAAAAGATTGCTTCTTGTAGTTTACATTTAGACACTGAGCCTGCGTTATAATTTCAAATATTTCTAGCCTAATTTTCTATGAAATATTAAAATTGCTGTTGATACTTTTATGCAAAGCTAAATGTACTATGCAGGGGGGAAAGGGATTGTTAGTAATGGAGACTGAGAATCCCATTGCTAGCAATATACCCAACCAGGTCGACTTCCTCGCGGTTCCCCCTGGAAACTATCATGGTTAATTCCTGATGAATTCATCATGACGGGCTAACTGGCCTGTTTTCATTCTCATCTATCACCCTTTACTGGTGCTCCGCCAGCGTATCCCGTTAGCGTAGGCGGGGTTACCATACCATTTTCACTTATCAAATGTACTATGCATGTACAATCGACACAATTTAATAATTAGTTGCAGTATATAATTATACCCTTCTCCATCCAAATGTTGCCTGGAAGAGACCGTTCTTGGCGATAAGGCAGCCCATTGTTTTCTCAGTGTAATATTTTCTTGGAATTGTCTGTATTTATAATAAGTTTACTATTCTAATCTTTTGGAGGAAACAATAAAGAATATCTATTTATCTATACAGGTTCTTACCTGTCTTCCTTGCTGTCTATTCCATAGTTTTCTAACATAGTCCCACATTTTGTTCATTTGATGATCACTGAGGTCCATATCACGCAGACCGTCTCTCAGTTCACTGATGCCGTAGTCGTATGCTATACGAGATGACGAGTGGGCGGTAATCATTGCAGACATTTCTGATATCAGAAGCCCTAAATAATAATGCAAAAAGTACTAATTAATGAGTGATGACAGGTGAAGATGAATTGGACTATCGTACGAATTATTATGAATTAATTGTGATGATTTTCAGATGGATCGATCTTTCGGGGTATTTTTATGGCTGCTAGATCCCATTTTTAATAATTATGTACTCCTATCGTAATAAATGATATAGTAAGGATATAGTGGGGTTGTTTCTTATTTGCCATTTTCTGTAATTATCTTTAAAATTAAGGAGTTCTTTTATTATATTTTTTATTATATTTATATAAATTATATATTATTTTATAACATTTATTATTATGGAAAATTATTATTTTTAAACGCTACCGATAATAAAATGTAAACCTGACTTGAATTATAAATTTATGCCGCTTAAAATAAATTTTGGTTTAAGAAATAGAGATAGAGAATGGTATTTTAGAATCGGTCCTAGTATATAGCAGTGATACTGTTTAGGCAGCAACTGTAGTTACACTTAAGTGATTATTTGTTTACTAATATTGACGTTAAAAAAATGTGATAAAAATATAGGATAATAAGTGTTAATCTAGAATTTGTTCCATCCATGTTCCCTTAGTTTTATTTCTTAAATTTCATTCAAATTAGTTCAGGCGTTTGAGTGTAATTTAGTAACACCAAAACATCTTTACAAACTTTCTGTCTTATCACAGGTAGTAGGATTACCTGTGGATTCGTTCACGTGAAATACCTACGTAATGACGTCTTTTGGGTTTTAATGTATATTTATAACAAGCTTTTTTCTCGCGACTTCGCCCGCGTGCCCGGTTATGTTAATTGGCCTGTGTCATTCTGTCCTAATACTTGTATATCAAATTTAGTTTGTTAATTTTTCAATTGTTCAAAATTTGTACATTTTTATTAAGGCGCAAAAAGTAAGTAATAGTTAAAATTGTTCCACAGTTAAGTCAAACATACACTGAACTTGCATTGGTAACATTATATAGATGGACCTTTTAACGTAATCTTTAATGTTACCTGTACAAAATTTGATAACTATTATGACAATAATCGTTTCGATGACCTCAAAATCATTTTGTGAAGATACATCTCCTGTACCGGTAATTGTTAGTAAGTTAATCATATACCACAACGCTGCGATGTACAGAGAGAAATAATTGGCCTGGAAGTAATTAAAATTGTTAAGATTTTTTTAAAAGACATTAGTAGGTACAAAGATTACTGATAATTTACGAATATAAATTAACAAATAGTTATAATGAGTACAATAACGTTCACGTCTCTGAACTCATTAATTAATTGTATTTATCAATTGTTTTAATTAGAGGTTGAAATAAATTAGTAGTTATAGATTTTGAGATTGAGTCTTATAACCTTACCTCGATGTATTGGACTTTTAAATTAAGATCGTCTTTTGACATCCAGTTAGCAGAAGCACAATGCACTGGGGTTAAACAAGAAAGTTTGAAAAAGAAACACGCATTCACGTGTGAGAGTATCGACGCCCATATTGCGATTGTCCTACAAGAAAATTTATATTATAATGATTTACATCTTTATAAACATATAGGATAATCTTACAAATTGCCGTGTGTTTTATTAAAAAAAATCAATGATACGGGAAACCCATTGATAAGTATCTATCGGTATATATATTCTTTATTGCACTTGTAAGTTACATATAAAATAATCTATTTATAAATGTTGTGAGCAAGGGTCGAAACACTGTGATCTGAGTCAATTTAGAAAGGGTTTTAGGCCACAGATAATAATAAATAGTTATTACACAAGAGGCATAATTTTTGAAGCTTAATTAATTCTCATTTTCTCCAATTTTTTTTTAATTAGTCCAAACAATTAAAACTTATTGAAGCCTACTGTAAGTTTAAGCTTTAATAAATTGACTTACATTAACTTAAAAAATAAATTTGCAGATCCAATATTTATTTTTTTATGAGTTCTATAAGTGAAAAGATATGATATTCTGAAGAGTTGTGGAGATCTCATATAGCAAAATAAAGCAAGTTTCATCGTTGGTTTCAGTGTTAAGGCAAATGCCAAGTAACATAATGGAATGTTGGCTAAAAAATCACGTCTTCTAAGGAATACTTTGCCGAAATACCTGAAAATTAAGAAATGTATAAATTTATTCTGCATAAGATATGCATATGTGTACATACCTACTGGGTACCTAATAGAAACAATATAGGTAACAATTTGAAATCCCACAATAATTAGGTATTATAAAATTGAGTTTCCTAGAAAAACTGTATCATACAATTTAATATATCTCCTTCCTATACCTATTGTTTGTATATTATCTTTAAGTGAACGAAAATCCCATTGACTTCCACAAACATAGAAAAGAATAAAGTTAATAAATATAAAATATAAAAAAAAATATAAGTTTCAATATAATATCCTTCAAACTGTGAAGTCACGTGATCGATATACAATGAAAAACAGCCACTTAAATTGTGACAACATTATAGAATCAACATGCGAGTAACTTCTATTGAATGCAAAATGAATGATCAAAGTCGGTAAAAATATCGCTAATATAGGTGTTCAAAAATATTGAGGTGAATTAAAAATTTTCTTTATTTTGTAGCCGTTTAAAAATTTGTTTATCTATTATGACTTCTAGTAAAGTTATTGCCAAATTTTATAAGTGTACTCACATTTTTCTTACTTTCTTTGGATTTAAAATGTAATCTCCATATCTATTCATATATCCGGTGTGCAAGTCTAAGAAAATTTTATAAAAGAAAATTGTATCGAACAACACGCACATGTAGAAAAAGTACGGAATGGAGAGAAAAGCCATCTGATAGACAAGTGCCATAAAATCTACGTACGAAAGAATCAGAATGACGTATTCTGAAAATATAAAGCAGATAAATATGAGTTTAAACGAAACAAGGTAAACCGATCTATTTATTGAAGAGGATTTTAATAATTACCCATAAAAGTGACTAATTTGCAGTCTGGGATTACGCTGCTACGAAACCATCTGGAAATATCTTGAGGTATTAATAAATATAATCATAACACATCTGAATAAAAACTATAAAGTTTACATGCGTCCGTATATCATTATTCATTTTTTATACTTTCTTTGGATGGCTTATAAATTTATTTTACGCTAGGTAAAAGTTCACCAATTCTTACCTATGAGGTTTAAAAAGCAACAACGATGCCGTAATATATTCAGCATTCCCGACTGACGTTATCGATCTGGAGCCATGAGATTCCGCAATACTTTTTTCAGGACTCTATATTTAGAAAACATAGTAGAGATAATTACAGAAAGGACATTATTTATTATTATTATTGGTAGAAGCATTGGTTTCGTAGAAAATTGGCTCAAAAAGCTATAAAGTATCGTTAAGTATACTATATTCTTTATTGTATTTTGTAAATAACAAAGAAAAGACAGCTATAGGTGTTATGGGAAAGGGTGGGCTTATCTCCAGAAGAGATTTATTTCAGCCAATTATATAATTAGCAAATATTAGAGCGGTGACTTTTCAGTCGGATAAGGTTAACGATGGTCCGGAAACTTTAAGATCAAAAATCTGTAAATTCGTGTTAGAATCATTTAAAAATGATGAACACTTGTTTCGTACTTTGCAGGGCATTTAAAGTTGCTGTTTGGTAAACCACGTCAGAGACTTTTGTGTATAAGGTAGTAATTAATAAATCACTTATTTTTCTTACATCTAAGAAAACAGAAGGATCTATATCCTCTTCATCATCATCATCATCTCCAGCTTCATAGGATAATGGATATGATTGTATCTGTAACGCAAGTAACATTAAAAATTATTAAAAAAACATCTTTTTAAAAAACTTATTTATTATTATTTATTTATGGTTTATTCACAATCTAAACTGTAAAAAGTCCAGTACCTATTTAACTGTACCCATATTAATAGATATATATGCATAATGGTATCGTATCAAAGTTAAAAATGTATATATATTGAATATTTTTAAGTCAGGTTGTTTATAACTATTATTGTCTTAGTGTCGACAAACCAAATCAAATAAACATTCATAAATTACCTCTAAACTAGTTTGTTCTGATAATACAGTCGGCAACACGTAATCTTTTACAGCTGAGTTTACGGAATATTTAACTTTTCTAAGAACCGATGGATAATTCTGGAAAATATAATAGTGGTATGAGTAGTATTTTAACTACTAAATTAATATAGGACTTAGATAAAAGTTAAATTATTTGCATGGTATAACGAAAGTGTTAACCAGATTCATAATCGTTTTTACATTGATTATATTTCAGCAAAGACCCAAAAGAAAGATATTTGGACTTTTCAGTGTAAAAGTAAATAAATGTGTTTTAAATTAATTTTTTTATTTTATAGTACATAGAGATAGGCATTTCAGGTTTAAACCCTGTGTCTCTAAAAATAGATTTACGATAATATGCCCGATATAGAATTTGCATATTTTAAAAAGTATAAGCATTTTTTTTTTTTGTTCAGTTCTAGAAATATATGTGTTTTTAATTATGGTAAATTATTTTTCTTACATTAATTCACTCAAGTATACTCTAAAACTATATAACTTTCTTTGTACGTACTTTTAAAAGTGCATAAAACTCACGACCTTGTATGCTCAATAAATCGATGTTTCGAGATGCTACGACGTTTGACATCGTTAAATATTTAGATGCGCCTCTAATGTTACCAAATATGCCTCCTGGACCCATACACGCTTCGACTTCATTAATATCTGACACTATATCCACCTACACAACAGATTAAAAATATATTTATGTTCTGACAACATTTTGTATAAGGTAACCAGATTGTGATTTTTTTTTCAAATATATGTGATGTGTATCTTTCGTATTAAGCACAATAATAAATGTTACAGTCGGCACCAAAAGTAGATTATTACAAATTTTCAAAATACTTATACGCCATTGCATAGGTCTGACTCATAAGAAGTAAGTCTAGTAGGATTTAACTAAGAAAGGATTCAACACCGTAATAACTTAAAGTTAACTGAATACTTGCGTAAACAATAGGCTGCATTAATTTGCCATTGGGCAATTTGAAAATTGTCCATTTCTTTTGGATTTTAGTGTTTAAAAATCAAAAAATCTCGAATAAGTTACACTTTTTTCTTTTTGAGTTCGTTTACATTTAAATTAATTATATGGACAAAGATTTAGCTCACCTTACCACGGTAAATAATATACATAGCGCTTATAACTTCGTTGGATCTTATTACCATGTACCCTTTCTGAAAATATTGTTCCTTTAATTTTTTTGCGAATGCTCTGAAGAAGGAATATTCCACGTCTTCAAACAGTGGTATTTCTCTTAGAGTCTTTTCATACATATACAATACAGCATCTTCATTTAAATTTGCATGCAATTTCCCCAATATGGATTGGTGCTAAGGATAAGAATGCGTACAAAATGTAAGTCATGGTCTTAATTAATATGTTTCAATATGATTGATCCATGTTGACATTAGAGGTCAGGGATTTTTTATTTCTTGGCAGAATATACTTACTACATATAGATTTTTTAAATATATTTAATTACATTAAAAAGACAAATGTAATCGTTTATTTATTTACAGCAAACGTATATAACATTTAATTAAAAACTGAATATTAAACTGTTTAAATTTTCATTAAGTTCTAATCAAACAGATTATAGTACCATTACACTATAACTGTAACAGGACGCAAAATTTATTGTTGCTTTTGAGAGGTAAAAACTGTGAAAATCCAAAGGGATTTTCACAGTTTAGTAAAGACTTACCGACCATCCACCAGTTCTCTTCCATTGATACTTCCAGTACTCGAGTACCGTTTTCTTTAACAATAATGGCACTTTCTCTCTATTCAAGAAAAGTTCTAAGTGTTTTAGATTTTCATGAAATCTCGTAATCACTTGATCAGCCATTGCTTTTAGTGATGCTATTTTTGCATAAACGTATCTGTGCAATTAAACAGGGCATGAATGTTTTATTATGTACATTGATATAAATATTAAATGCAATACATTAAATGTCACTCTAGTACCGTGTGTGAGGACGCCATTTGCCTTGTTTATAATTAAGTAAACCAGAATTTACTGTAATGAGAGTTATCAGATTGATGGCTAGAGCTACAAGTCGCAAATCAAACGAGTCAGGTAAGTTTCTAAATCCGTTCATGAAACAATTTCGGGTTATTAAATTGCTAGCTATTTATGATTTTCCTCACGTTTATTAGACTGAAATCTGTCTTATACGTTAATCTAAGATAATATATGATTTATATTGCGAATTATATTCAATTAAATGTAAAGACAATATAAGTTTTACATTTAAATTTGTTCAATCGTTAATGCGTGACTGATTAAAAAACATCCTAACATTGTTAAAAAAAATATATTAATGTTAAATGAAAATATAAATTGATTATCAAGTTACCCAAAAAATAAAACTCCATGTATGTTAACACAAATCGACAAGATCATGTGGGTGGTGTCTTGGGCAGTGATATCACCAAATCCGGCCCCACTAAAACTTGTAGCCGACCAATAATAAGCCAACAGATATACTTTGATTGGAGATAAATACTCGTCTTTTAGAGTACTGGCTTCATCTATCCAAGATCCTTTAAAAGCAAATTTGATTAATTTTGATTTTAAAATATATAAATTACAATTGAGGCACAAAAAGGCGTATTGAGTTTTTTCTTAGATTGTACATCTGACGGGCCTGATTGTTTATTATCTTTATGGTATATGTGAAACAATAGTATAGATAGTGGTAAGAATTTTTTATTAAAAGTTGTCAGTTTTGATAGTTGCAATAAAAAAAATCATAATTATTGATAAGTAATATATTTTTTATTGAAACTAAAAGTTAGCTAGCTTACCCCTCTGACATATCATATTCCCATCAGGATGAAATGTAGAATTAATGTATGGGCCTTTTAAAGACAATTCCGATACTTTTCGAGCAAAATCATGGGGATTAGAGGCCACTGTATATCTACAAGAGATCATTATCAATATTGACGTGTATAGGTTTAGAAAAAACAAAGTCAATAAAAGGAATTGAACGACACTCATCAAGTATGCCTGTAAGAGAATAGTTTGAACGTTTGAACGTTGATTGTATATTAAATAGATGCTATATATAATAGATATTAATGATAATATTAAATATCAGTACTGTATACAGCAGCAAACATTACAAAACTAAGTAGTACTAACAAATAGAAGGCTAACAATACCTATAAAGCTGCAAAAACTATTTTACAAACTTAAATATCGAGCTAAAAATTGTATTGTAAGTCGTAATTAGTATTATTATGATAGATACTCTTTTTAAAGCAGCGATAGATTCCGCCCAGAAAGCAGAGTAAAGTTTATAAATTTGTAAAATACTGATCATCCGAAACATGCAATGATAAATGTGATAATTTATTTGATGATCTTCATTTGAGTGATTTTCATTATGTTTTGGAACGAATAACAACCATACAGCATACCAAGGTAAACAAGTGAGAAAATCTAGTGTAAATGGACCCTGTAAAGTAAAAATAGAACGTATTAATAAAGTATACGTAGACTTATTTCATAATTAGTAAGTGATTGCTAACCTTGAGATAGTTTTTTGCTGTCAAATAAGGATGGTAAATGAGTTGGTTTTTAGATCCGTAAAAAGCAACGTGGAGCATCAGATAAAGATCGATGTAGCATATCGATTCCAGAACTAATATAGTAATGTTGAATATGCCATACAAAGGTGCCAAAGAAACGACAATCTAAAAGTAATTTAAGTACAACTTATAAAAATTTATATAGGTACGTATATGGTTGTTTAGGTAAGTAAAAAGTAGTATAAATATATTACCGGAACTAATATGCACAGTAAAAATGCACTGATCACTCGAATAATTGCCCATGTTTTTAAAAATATGCCATCAGGCTTTATAGCAATAGGCATCAACAGATAGGGAGCAATATTATTTAGTATTTTAAATTGCTTGTATGATTTCCAATAATTTTCTTTCCTTCTTTTGTAGTAGGCCGATACATTAATAAATGAATCTGAAAAACCGTATATTATTTTTTATTATAGTTTATTAGCTGTGTTTATTATATTAGTATAATAATATTATAATAATTATATGAAATGTTTATATGTCTCCTAATGATTAGCAGTTTCCTGTATTTATAGATGATTTTGAAATGTAAAAATTATTCACGAGTCATTTATTTATTCGGATATTTTTAGATACGCAAACAACTCATTTAACTTACTATTAATAAAAGTTTGTAAAATGTTGGTAATTTTCACTCTTTCCTTCTTTGTTATTAGTTTATTGTAGTGTTTCAAGTATGCTCCTGCATTTTGAGATTTGGCTTGATTTTCTATTTTATTTAGCTCTACGCTTGACAATAGGTTCTCATGTTCTCTCATGTCAGGAAACAGACTCAACGCTGATGTATAAGCAGAGTGGCTTATACAAATCAACTAAAAGAAAACGAGTATAATTAAAAAATATATACATATATCACAGGTGCAACCAATCAATATTTTTTGGTTTATTGTAGAAAATAGAATATTTTTTTATGGATTAACAAATTGACTACCCACCAGATGGGAAGTGGTACCGATTTGATCATTTTCTATTAGTGTAATTTAATTCAATGTTATGTCATAATTTATGTAATAATGATTACCTATATATTAAAGAGATTTTTTTAATTTCGTTGATGTAGAAGTTTCATTTATCTAAATAATTATTTTGTAATTTTGTTTTAATTAGTTTGCTGTTTATTTCGTAGATATAAAAAAAAAAACTAATTATTAACGGAATCAATGGATAAATGATAAATACAATAGTTTACACTTATATAGCAAAGATTACAAAATTCATAGATGCTGTTTTCATTTTTACTTACGCAATACTCAAAAATATATTATTTGATAAAAACTTACTTTGCAGTGTGTCAAAGTAATCACAGTGCTAATAGCGGGAACTCCATATAGTAGCACTAGTAATCCTAAATGATTGCCTGGTCCAATGACACGTTCTTTCTTGGATTCTTTCATATCATTGGAAGTCACTAAACAGTAGCCACTTTCAATAATATATAGTTCTCTAGTTACTGTACCACCATAGTATACAATTTCCCCAGGTGGAAGTATAATATCTCTTGCGGCTATTGCAACAAAAGCAATTGCATTATTTAAATTTACTAGGTAAGAAAAAGTGTCTTTGATTTTTTTTTTATATAACAATTTCATCAATCAATCAATTCGACCATTATGTTTTTTTTTATATAACTTAGAATGGCAAACAAGCTAACGGCCCACCTAATAGAAAGTGTTAACCGTCGCCTATAAACATGAGCAGTACCATGGACATAACATTAGTCATCCTCTTACGACACAAACGGGAAAGAAAAGGGTAGCCTATTCTATGTTGGGACCATACAGCATTTATCGTGTGCTACAATTAATATTTAATAAAACATGTTTATAGTAAATAATCACTTTCAGTTAATGTTTGAATATAAGCTTTGTTTTTCACTTGGAAAAATCGTATCGAAGTAAGAGCTTTAAAGCGCGCTTGATGTAATACTTTTTTTCTCAACTCTGAAGGCACGACAGTGTTTTCTAGCCAATTTTCGTCAGTTATCTCCACTCCCTGAAATAAAGTACGATAACAACAATGAGACAATGGGAGGAATATTTATTAGGTGTTGCAAAGTTTGATTTGGCGGGTATCTACATACAGCCACGTACTGTTTTTCAGAAAATAATTTTAGCCTACGTTTATTACAAACGGGTCTATTTAATAACTACGAATATTATTTTGTATTACGAGTATTCTGATACGTACCGAGTTGTATTGCCATTGTAATTCATAAAAAGCCATTATTCTAGATTTTATAGCTGAATGCATATTATTATCCTCCATGAATTTGTCTATGGTTATGATTACTTCCAAAAAAGCAGTTTTAGTTCTAAAAAAATTATAGTAATGTTAACCAATAATATTTTACAAATTTAATAAGTATCTAATCTCTTTATAGTTCTTAGTTCGCCTTTCTTACCTAGACCAATGTGTGACGACAGCGGAAAATTCTGATATACAGTAACCAGTTAGTAGTACTCCATAGAGACTGAGAAATGCGACGAAACCCATATCATATTTATCTCCAGGGGTATAATCCCCGTAACCGACGGACAATAAAATAGTAGTAGCAAAATATACGGACGTAATAATCGGGTACTTTGTTCTGTGAACAATTTGTTAAATGAAAGCAATAAAATGTCGCTGGATTTTTATAGCTATTGACCATTTTGCACAATGGTAAAGGCTTATTAAATTCTATGAATCTTGACTGTGTGATATATACCTATTGCTGTCTCATATATTACACATTTTAATAAGAATATTTATATGTGCTGGTAAATTTTATCAGGTATCTTGCAAAATAGGCAGAGAATCCTGTTTATCAACTTTTCTATCTTTATATATATCTTATTTCGTCCACTTTCATAATTCGTGTCATGCACAACTATGCACTTTTATTTCGCTTTTAACTTATCTATAATATGATAGAATTGTGGAATGCTCCCTCCCTGCAAAAGTTTTCCCAAGAGACTACAGAATGGGGCTCTTCAAAAGGGGGTAAAGAGGTTTCTTCAGGGTTGGCAACACACGCGTAATACCTCTGGTATTGCAGGTGTTCATAGGCTAGGTAACCACTTACCATCAGGTGGGTCGTATGCTTGTTTGCCACCTCAGTGGAATAATAAAAAAAAGGACAAATTTACCCTAGTATCTATTTTGTCTGTGGTAATTTAGGAAATTTTGGTGAAAATTCATGCTATTATTATCATAATTATTTATCTAAATCATACTAGTATATTGTCGGCATGTAGTATATCGTGTTGCTTTAATAACTTACTTGCTAGTGGCGACACTATTCATTTGATTATCCCAAATTAAAGCTCTACTAAACCACGAATTTTCTGAGCAGAGGCTTACGAAACATGCTTCCATGTATAAAATCACACCACACCAATAACACAAAAGACATATATAAATACAGTATTTTGCAATCTAAAACGAGACGAAGTTATATAACGATACACATAATAATTTATATCGAACGCAAAACTATATTCATCTCCAATATATATAGAATATACAATGGCGGAGCACCAGTGAAGGGTGATCGATGAGAATCAGTTGGCCCATCATAACAAATTCACAAGTATTAACCATGATATATTAAAATATATCCCCAATATACCTATATTAAAATATATGCACAAGTAAATGTATAGACAAAGCTATAAATTTATTATATACTTTTTTAAAAGAATCCTACTAATTTGGTTGAAATATTATAACTTGTTTTCTGGAAAACTCCAATAAGAATGAGAAATTGCGTTCCGAAATTTAAACAGTTTACACTAATATTAAATTCTACGTGGTAGGATACCACGAGAGAAAGGTAATCGTAAAATTAATTAATCGTAAAATGACATAATGATTTACCTTTATTACAAGTGTGTTCAGTAATAATTTTCTTTCTAAATTATCAAAAAAATTTGACAATCTCCAAACAAGGCAAAGTTTGACGCCTTTACATAAATAGTAAAGATGTTCCATATAATTATCGTGATAGTTCACCGTTCTATGTATTGTAACAATGTATTCAAATGGTATTATTGCAATGATATCAAGGTAAAATCCTAAGGTATTCATTCTATACTGCAGAATACTACGGGAGTTTTTCAAATGGGTCTTTTTCGTTTTAATTGCAGTTATGCATGACATTAAAATGTTAAATATCAAAGATATAACTACAACAATTTGTGTATAGACAAAAAAACCGTCCTCAGGAAATTTTCTTTTGATGCCTATGTAATACGGATAGATCAAACAAATATAGGACACAATAATAAGCATATAGTGTTCCCAGTAGTATACCAAATAACAGTTTGATCCTAAAATCCACGGAAAATTAGAATTCAGGCACGTGAACTTTGTGATTTTTTTCTTTACATGTTCTGATAATATGTATAAATCCAAATAATTCTCTTCCAATTCATCATCCTTTGTTATGTCTGTGTCTATTTTACCTGCAATTCTCAAAGTTTAATTTCATAAATCTTACACCTAATATGATTTGAAAAATATTTAAATATACGATTTACCTTGAATATATCTTAATTTATCTTTTAAACATTTTATGCTACTCTTTTTCCGGTCCTTGGAAGCGTATATATTTAAGGTCAGTGGAGTATAAATGTTCTCTTTCTGTTTTCTGTGTCGACATCGCGTTAAACGTTCCTGTAATTCTTGTCTTATGTTATCCACTAGGTCTGGGTAAGTAATCATAAGCTTTATGAATTTAGTCTTGTTTAAAACTTGACACTCCACATAAGTTGCTGCCTTTACCGTACATCTTGCTATGAACAAAACATTCTGTTGATGGTATCTGTTATGTAGTCGTTTTCACATAGATAGCATTTTATTACGGTTCACACCTTAATAAAATTTTAAGTTATAAAAAATGCAGATAGGTATTATCAGCACTTCATCGGGTGCACCTACAGCTTGTTTGCTACTTTAGGTTGTATAAAAAAATTAACATTAATAATAATTATACTTTTAGGTATTAGGTAAGGTAAAATTTTCACAGGTTTTTCATAACGCTCACCTGGTATGTTATAAACCAACGCTATTTCACCGAAACACGTTCCCTTGGAAAATGAAATCATCGGACTTTCATCATCTTCATCAGATAATAATTCTAAAACCCCGTTAGTAATACACACCTAAAATATTAGATATAAAATATTAGTATAAATGACAAAGTTTATTATTATAAAATTACTAGATGTTAGACTATACTCCTGTAAATATGCAAGAATCTATTATCTTCCATTCACGTGGAAGTTTTGATAAAAATATCTTACTAATATAATATAATTGTAATTAGACGATGCCATGTACATGGGAGATATTAAAAAAAATGGAGATTTTAATAAATCCAGTAGATAGAATGAGCTCCCTGCCGAGGTTTTACCAAGAGACTACAGCATAGGGTTCTTCAAAATTGGGGTACAGAGGTTTCTTCAGGATCGGCAACGCGCGCGTAATACCCCTGGTATTGTAGGCATTCATAGGCTACGGTAATCGCTTACCATCAGGCGGGCCGTAGGCTTGTTTGTCACCTCAGTGGTATAAAAAAAGATGCCAAAACAATAATTATTAGAAATTTTGTGTTTGTCATCTGTATGTTTGTTCCGGCTTTCCGTAAAAACTTGCACGAAATTGGGTGCGGTTTACACACCTGTGTTCCTGATAACCTAAAATCTGGTGAATGTTTTACAATGATGAATGTCTTAATATGCCAAGTAGAAATGGTCTAATTCGTTGGTTTTCTTATTTCTGAAATCGACACGGACAAAATCCTAGTCTTATACAAAGTAACGTCTGAATAAAATTCATGTCTATGTGTTAATGATGTATTTATATGTTAATCAGTCAGTTGGTTTCTTCTTTTACATGGACTAAAGCAATTATATCTATCAATAAACATTGCATGTATGTAATTGCTTCTAGATACAGTATTGTCATATTTGCATATTGTTGTAGCCAGCAAATAGGTGCAGTACTATTAAAACGAGGATATATAAAAGCAGTAAGTTACCATAATAGTCTTGTTGTGATTATGATTGTAGACAATATCACCAGGCAAGTAAAACTGATGAGTCATATCTAGCGACAGTCTTCTAAGGAACGCCTCCGGAAGTTTTCTGAATATTAAAGAGCTATACAGCGGTACTGCGTTTAAATCGTAACAAATTTCCATTTGCAATGGACTTGGCAATAATTCCAACAATTTTGGTTGGAAAACACCTGACTTTTGATACCATAAGTCTTCATAGTACCTTGAAAATAAACAAGTTCATTATTAGATAATGATAATGAATGTATTATAATAAAATTGTAGAATGAACATGTCTTGTACAATGAATATAATTCACACTGGCTAAGCCACGGAGTCAGTTATTACCTATATTATAACATCTTCTCGAGTAATCAGTAGGGTATAACGATCTGAACAGAATCATGCAATTTGTTCCAATTATATATATATACGCTAAGTATAGGTTACTCAAAACATTGTTTGTTATATCATCTAGGAATTAAATTTAACAACATTAAATCATGTATTTATAAGCAGTATCGAAAACAGGGGTTGCTAGAGAGAGGTGGTTAAATTGGCTAGTATTGATATCTGTGAATTAATTATACTTTTACAATCGATAGGATTTACTCTCATATTGAATCCCATATTACTATTGTTACAATTAAAATCGTCGTTTGTTTTTTACTGCAGAATAAACTCTTAAATTGTTTCTTACCTTATAATTCTTTGTGTTGTATCTTTATCCAATTTGATTAGGTCGAGATGATTTTGTATATTTTGCAATTGTCTCACATATTTAGCACGTCTCGTCGTTATAGTTATGAATAAAGATGTTAAAGATCCCACGAATACAACCGTCGTTAGCAAGAATCCCAATAAAATAGCTAAAATAGCTGTAACTCGTTCTATTGTTGTAACTGGGTACAAATCTCCAAGTGCATTTGTTGTGAGAAACATAACCGACCAATAAGTACACACGAAGTACCAGTCAAATGTGACTTCTGTTGGGAGGTAAATTGCAGCGGCCGACCACGACGACCGAATTTCGTGTATATCGAAATTTCTATATGAGAACAGATACCACACACATGTCCAAGTATGAACAGACAGCAAAAATAATATAAGATATTGGAATAGAAATGTAGTCCATTGGTTACTTCCTGCTTCGGAGGATTTGTTGTAAAAATATTCTATTATTCTGTAAACACGTATAGTCGCCATGATCGGCGCAATTGAAATTACATCAAAGTATTTATTTTGATAATTTAATAAATACAAAAAAGTATATGGCATGGCAAGTATAACGTCTAAAGCTACACGGCTTGTTTCTGGCTCAACCAAGTTTAAAGTTTTTTTCCATTTTTTGAAGAATTTTAAACCAAAAATTATGACAACGTCCAAAGTAAAAGTGAAGTTTAAACAAAATATAACAGCAACAATCCACATCGGTCTCTCTTTTTGTTCGTAAAACGTATATATGCATGTGTCTAAGATATATTCTGTGAAAATAATTGTAAGAATGAATACCTTCCATACAGGATCGGAGTATATTAGTAGAATTGAACGTAGTTTGCTCTTAGTAAATTCAGTTCTAGTCTCCTGTAGTATGGCGTAAGTTTTCTGTCTTTTATCTTCATCTATTTCGTAATGTATGTTATGGCTGGATGAATCTAGAAGACGAATAGCAGTAGGAGGGTGCATTAAAATTTTATTCCTGTCTAATTGACGCCTATACTTGTACACATCAAACATCAATTCCTTTTCTTCGTTATTATCTGAAAATGTATTTTAATGACATTACATTGTTTATATAAATATTAATAGATTTCTACAAATTATAGATCATCTTACCCATTTTGTTGTAAGATAGCACGGGTATAAACAGGAATAGGCATTTAACCAATATTTTGATGTTGACATTGATTTGAATTTAAGGTGTCTAGTGATTGAATGTGTAAATACATAATCAGTTATTATTGGTATCTATAATAAATTTACTATTGTTATCAAAATAGATATGCTTTATTTTTTCCTCCAAAAGATTATAGTAGTAAACTTATAATAGATGTAATTTCAAAAAATGAAAAAAATGGTCGGTCTTATTGCTAATAACGATCTCTTCCAGGTGACCTTTGGATGGAGAAGAATTATTAATAATGCATAAAATGTTATTGTGAAATTCTATTATAGTCGCATTGTTGTATAGAATACTATTGCTGAAATATATCAAGGTGAATTGAAACTGTCTTAGTATCTTTTAGTTGACATTTTGAATAGTGGTTTAGGTTTTGTTATTACATCTAAAGAATAAAATTAAAAATTTGCGAATGATTATTCATAGATAAATTTTCATGTATACTATTATTCATTAGGCAGCCTGTAAAGTTATCGGTTCGTCTGTATTATTTTTTATATGTTAATTTTAAATCTATTTTCATAATAATTTTTCCAGACTATATAGAGTAGTAGGTATACTGACTGTATATTGGAAGTACATACATGTATCTACTATATTTTTAAGATAAAATCGTACTCTTCAATTTATATATAAATAATTAAATTGTAATATACAATACACAAATAATTATAATCTTAGGCTATTATATATTCTTTATATAATATTTGTCCATCCCTAAGAGTGATTTTATATATTTTGCAAATCTAGTTGGTCACAAATAGATATTAATCTAGTATGCCAGCTTTTAGAGATTGTTATGCACATAATATTATTAAAGCCTGTTTGTACTAGTTGGATCAACAATATAGTAGGTAGTAAAACATTTGCAGCAGTAGCTATTTAATGCTTTTCTAGACACTGCTGTAAATATTTATGGTAATTATCTGTTAATTTTAATTCTAAAATATGTAGGTGTATACAGATATTTTTTATTGTATTATATATTCAATTTTTACCGGGTATTATTTAGCTGTACGGTTTTTACTCTTGTACATTCTACAGTTTTCTTTCAGCTTTGAGAAACTGTAGAATGTACGAGATCCCTTTATGGGATAAGTCTGCCATTGTATATTAAATATTTTAATGTATTCAGTATGAATTAAGTACAATAAAGATTTTACAGTACAACACAATACAATACAACAACCATCATGGTTTAGAAATAAACATTGTTTATTCTACCATGCGGACTATTCTCGTATCCTTAGTTAATTCTTACTTCATCATGAAATTTGATATACATGTAGTATTCGGGATGGAGACGGATAGAAACTTGAGCAAAGTCGAACGATATATTCTGAACACGTGAAGCAAGTCGCAAGTAAAAACTAGAAATGAATTTTGGTATATATAATATACTATTTGGGGTGGAGAAAAACGTAAGCTATTTTTTATGTCAGTCAATCAACATATTCTGATCATGCGGACGAGGCCGCGGGTAGACTAGTATGTTATAAAATAACTTATATCTTCTTATACTAATGAAGATTGGTTTATAAAATAATACAACAAAATATAGCTTTTGCAATAAATAATATTTATGTATTTTAAAGTCTTATATGGGGGTATAATTATAATCTAAATCATGTAAAACTGCTATTTAGAAAAAATCAATGTAACATAACATAAGTACTTATCTACTTACAAGGAGTTATAGTGGATCGTGTCTTATTAGATGGGCGTTTCGTATCATCAAATGGTGAAGCCAAATTCGTCGTAGAAATTTTGTGCAAAACAGCCATTGGTGGTTTGGTGACGCAATGTTTTTCTCTCCACCAACACGTAGGCAGCAAGCCGGATATCTAACTAGACGGACTGCGCACGGCACTCCAACCTACATACTACATGAACATAATAAAAATTGTGAACACGACATTATTTCACATTTAACTGAATAATTTTAATAGAGACTAATTATGTTTTGTCTTTTCAGGTTAATTATATTTTATATTTGCTCAAAATTTTGTAACACAGTATTAATAATCTATTAAACAAGAAACAAATCGTCATAGTCGTAGAATACTAACGGATCTTTATATGTAATCTTTGTCAGATCCGTCAATATTCTACGACTATAACGAAATATTGTTATTTTCATAATTGATGATAAATTCGTTATATATTATTAGTAATTGTGATATCTATACCATAAGAATCTACATTTTTATTTAAGTATGTGTATGAGTTTGATAATTAATATAAAGAAAATTGAGAAGATCCAGGAATTTTACGTAGCGATTAAAGCTTGATACTACAATTTAGATTTCTTAAAGTTTAGAAATCTGTTTGATACGTGACTATATCTAAATAACTTTCAACAATTTTAAATATGGCTTGTGTAATCTAATATCTTTCCTTTATGAATTGTTATGGTGTACTATAACAACCTATTATCGTCCCATTACAAGTAAGTATTATAAGTATTCGTAAGTAGTCCAAGCTACTTAAGAGTACTTATTTGTGTAGGATGAGTCTAATATAAAAATCCTACATTGTTAATTCGTATTCCAATTTTCGTAACGTTTGATAATTAAAGTCTTAGCGAGTTTCCATAATAGGATCAGACGCATAATCACTACTTTTATGGAAGTAGGAGCCATGTATCGGTTAAAAATGTCGTCATAAAACGACTTTAAACACCTTTAGCATTTCGCAGGACATCGGATTTGTTTAAAAAGGTCTGTGGTGTTTAGATATTTAGAGAAGTATATCCAAATAGGTAGCTAATATTTGAGAGGCAAAATTAAGTATAATGTCGTGGGGGTGTCGTGGGGTAAGTATAATTTCGCTTTCAAATTTGTGTTTCATCGAAAAGATCTTTTTCCTTATGCTTATTTTTTATTTTCATATATTTTATTTTCTTTTTTATATCAATATATTAAAAAGTCCAACTTCGATCGAGTGGTCAACCGACGAATCCAACTCGGCTGGGCAGCGTTCGGAAAACTACGCCACATCTTTCCATCCAAAATACCTCAAAGTTTGAAGACGAAGGTCTTCGACCAGTGGTTGTTGCCAATGACGACTTATATGGAATTGCCCGTATGCAAAATCTTCAAATTACTCAGCGGGCTATGGAGACGGCTATGCTCGGAGTTTCTTTGCGTGATAGAATCTGAAAGGAGAATATCCGCAAAAGTACCAAAGTAACCGACATAACCCGAAGGAAAAACAAACTGAAGTGGCAATGGGCTGGTCACATAGCTCAAAGAACCGATGTGGAAAAAAGGTTCTCGAGTTGCGACCCCGTACTGGTAAACGCAGTACAGGACGACCACACTAGATAGAGTGACGACTTCGAATGCATTGTCAGTCAGTGGATGCAGGTGGTTCAGGATCGTTCCTTATGGCAGTCTATGGGGGAGACTATATCCCGCAGTGGACGGATGAAATGATGATAATGACATTAAAAAACATAAGTTTTGGAAACACAATCTTGTATAGTGATCTTTTTCATACAAAGATAATGGTTGTCTATTGAACTTCTGAAGAAAGTCACTATTCCTAAAGAGATATTTTAAATAATTATATTTAAGATTTATAATGTTTAGCATTTCTTAGCTACTGACATCTCGTTTACACGTGGTTTATTAATTTTTATTAATTATCAAGTTAAAATAGATTCGTCCCGGCTACGTATGGATGCAGTTTATTACAAAACATTGTATTTTTGTACTTATACAAAAGTTTAAATAGCATATTTTGTACATACAAACCTATATGAAAATCTATTGGGTGATTTACAAGAAGTAAAAGAAAAATAGAAACGGGTTGCGACTTTATACAATTTAAAGATTATTATTAATTCATAATGTGTAATATTTTGACAACAAGGTCTTGTTATAATATATTTCATATATAAGTACTTAAGTTATTGTCATGTCAATCCAAATGTAGCAAAACAGGAACAAAACAACGCCAACGTTGTTTTAACAGAGAATTCAAAACAAAGTGGGTGTTTCCGATACCAAGACATACGCTATGCCTTTTGACAATAGATACATACATGTATTCAACTTCTCTTATAACTGTACAACTTGAACTATCTGAAATTTTATTCTATTATCCATGTCATTATTAAGTGGCACTAGTCATTAGGTTGTATAGTCAACATAGTCTATTTGTGACTTTTCCAAGCCCAATACTGTCTTGTATTATCACATGATTTAATAACAAATATCAATAACCTTACAATATTTCTTTTATATTACAACAGTGACAAACTACCATACGACCTGCCTAATGTGAAATAAACCATAGCTTATGAACATCTACTCATATAACAGATGATGCCATATGCGCGTCTTCAACCCCAAGGATAATAATTACACCCTTTGGCGTTTATATTTTTAGTTGAATTATTTTGGCGTATATTTTTTGTAATTTTGAATGGCAAATAAATCATATCCATTGATTTCCGAATAACAGTTTCTTGTTATTTCTTCTTTGTTAAAACAGTTTCCTAAAGTAGTAAACAAGAACAAAACACTTGTATGAATCTACTTAATTTAAAATATTTTTGATTGATTTATTGCCTCGGTTCCATATTAGTTTTATCATGTCACCTTTTGTAGTAGCTTGACATGTAACCTCCATATAGCCCCCAGAACAAGAATAGGAGCAATATGGTCTATGAACGTGACTGACTGAAGTAAAATTTTTAAGTGATTATTCGCATTGTATTTCATGTATATGAAATAAATAATAAAAGAATAGAACAAATCTAAAAAGGCTATCTTTACGTAATTTTAGAGTTTGCGTAAAATTTCCATAGCAAAGAGAAAAATGGTAAGGAAACATTTACCTACGTAACCAATTTGTTAACTTATGTAGACATATTTATGTGTCTACGTTTATGAACGGTTTAAGTAGCTTGGTGTGGCTGCGCATATCGTTCGTAATGTGACATGGTTTCACTAGTGTAGTGTATTATCAATAAGAATTTTTTTCTTTAATGAATGACAATGAAATGGTAACCCCACCTGCGCTATCGGTATACACTGGCGGGGCACCAGTGAGTGATGATAAGTGAGAATGAAGCAGATCAGTTAGCCCATCATGACGAATTTATCAATAATTAACCTTGATGGTTTCCAGAGGTAACCGCGTGGAGGTCGACCTGATAGGGTATATTGCTAGCAATGAGGCAGTCAGACTCTATTACTAACAATCCCTTTCCCCCCTATTAATAAGAATTACAAGTGTGGCGGATTAGTTTTGTGTGGTATAACGTGGTTTAGGATGCCTGATTTAACTTAGTTTTACGGCGTGGTGTCGTTTAGATTTGCATGTTTTACTTCTTTAAACTATCTTATGTATTATATATGTCGGTTAAGCTTCTTGTTCCTCTCCCGTGCTCTATTCCATTTTTTTTAATAAAAAAAGAAGTATTTAGCACAAATTAGTACATAATATATTAATATGAATTCATGAATGTGAATACTAATTGGAGTTTAAAATAATATGTATTAGATATGGAGTTGAATGACATTGTATAATAATGTTTGTATTTATGTATTACGGTAAAGTTATGGACTTGGTAAGTCTGTCTTATCTAAAAAAAAAGAACACTAGTTTTAAAAATATAAATAAAAATTAAAGAGTCAAAGGAGTAGTAAAATTGCCTAGTTGTGTGAGTCGAGACCTTGATAACGAAAGCGTTTTTTTTTTAACCTGATATCTCTGGTGGTGTAAGGGTCTAGGTGATGAAGTGGTTGCTTAATATCAATATCATACTCGATATTTTAATAAATAGATTTACAAAATATCTATTTTGTTTATTGTAATTTATACTTGCACTGGTTACTTAATTGGTTAAGTCGTTAAAGCACTGACAGGTAACAAATAAACAAACGGACTTTCACATTTATAATATTATTATTATAAAGATTAGATAATTATATTGCGGTATAGTCATAAAAAATAATATAATAATATCCCCTATCTACCTGTTCGAGAGTAACGTTTTTTATTATATTTATACTATTACGAAATGTTTTCGTTTAATTCCAGTTCAATAATCAATTTCTGATCACTTTTGTTTGACAAATCCACTCTCAGGTCACAGTGAAGTATTTGTGATCGCGATAATTATTAGGGGGTAGCGGGGAAAAAGGTAAAACCGCGCGAATGAGGCCCAAGGTCAAGGACAAATGAAGCACCTTAATCTACATCATGATCTATTTATGTGCGAAAATTTATTGAAGTCTGTTAGCCAATAAAGCGTAGGTAAATTCGTATCAAACGTTCAGCTAAAACATCTAGACATCTTACATATTTACAAACTTCATATAAGTAGGTAGTAACTTATTAACTGACAGATAAGGCTTTTTCTATTACTATGCTAAACGTACATAATCTATCATCATCATCATATCAGCCATCTATTGTCCACTGATGAACATAGCCACCCTCACAAGGGGGGTTTTGATAGTAGTTGCCACGCTTAACAGACGGATTGGCAACCGCAGTTAGATTTTGAGAAGGACGCTGCTGCTCATCCTTTGTCCATTAAGTTTCCTTAGTCACCTCTTCTTACGACACTCACGGCAAAAAAAGAGGTGGACTTTTCTATGCCGAAACTACACAGCATAAATTGTACCTATACTAATATAATAAAGAGAAAAAAATTAATTTATCATCATCATCATTATTTTAGCCATTATCTGTCCATTGTTGAACATAATCCTCCCCCATTGACTGCTAGGAGGTACGGAAAGATTTGTTTGATTTAATAGATAAACTCAAAAACTGATTTTAATTCTTTTTTTTATATATAGACAGTTACATTTTTAGTAAGTTATATATTATTTCAATATATAAATTTTCAATTGTAGGGACAAAGACTACAATATTGTAGTCCAAGGTATCAAAAATTTGCTTGTGAAAGTTAATATAAAATATTAATTTATATTTTTATTATATTTATCAGTGCGAATCTGGAGCGGATCGCTAGCTCACTCATAAGGACAATATTGGTCACATACATATTTAACTATTATAATATCTGAGCTATTTGGTCGATCGGTCGGTTTAAGAGAATGTGGAAATTACAGTAAAACTTTTACAACAAAGGCATATAGTGCTTACTTAATAACAAATTGTTAATTCACTCGAATGTGGAACGTGGAACTGTGTAATCCATTTAATTCGATAGTTCAACTAAGAGCATCGGATAGGGGTCAATTATCCATTTATCCTTTTAACAGAATTGATAAAATGAAACTAACTTGGGTGATTTTAATTAATCCAATGCTGTAGTTCAGTTAAGAAAGAATATATATTGGAGTTGGGAGTTACAATTTTATCTCAAATAAACGGTATAATCACATTATTAATGGTTTTTGTGATAACTGCGGAATAATACCTTAATTTACCAAGATATTTAAAATTGTTTATTCCAATAAATTTAAGGAATTGTAATTCAATCGATAGTGAAGTTAATATTAAATTATTGAATCTCTTTGTTGAATTAAATTGATTTTTTAACCATATTATTACAAGAATATATTTAATTGTTTTGTGAATACAGAATACAGGGTATATTAAATAATTAACAGAATTTATTTATAAATAACAGGATAATTAATTGTACGTGTAAGCTCCGTCATACTACAATTAAATAATTTTATCATGTTTTCTTTTTCGGAATAGCTTATAAAATAAATAGAGTTAAATTAATTTCTTTTTTTGTATTAATTGGTTTTATTTTTTATTACAACTACTTTTTGGTAGGTATATTTTTTTAAATTACAGTTTACAATATAAAGACAAACTAGGATTTATTACTATTGGTGTCTAGTATAGATAAATTGTTTATGCTTACTATTTACCCGTCTAAATGCCAATAAGAATATCTATTCTATATTATTACGAATGTAATATTAATTATTAAATTAGTAAAATGCTCATTTTGATTTAATTTTCGTTTTATTTCCTTTTAATTACCATTTTACTTGTATTGTCTAATTTTATCATGAATTTCAGACACGATATAATGTACATAAATATAGATAAGTACCAATAGATTGATGAATGAGTAGTTTGCTAGTTGACAATAAATATACTAGATGGCGACTTTGTCGCTCCAGTAGTGTTAGAGTGAGATGTTTTGGTTTATTAGTAGGTGCGAGTGAGAGAATTGTACGTTATTATTACGCCTACACTGTAGACAGAAGTCGCACGCGCTCACAAAAAATTCATCGGCTAGAGCGCAAGCGCAATGCTATATTCGCCCACAACTTCACTTCGGTCAACTTCGTCATTTAGTGGTGATCGGAACTTCGATGTGTGTGGAAGTGAATTTTAACTTTTCTAACACAGTCTCACAAAAATAACAGTAACCAGTTACTAAAGTATAAATTCTTATCCGAAACGTGTTAGATAAACATTTAACGTGTCATAAGTTGTATTAATATTATTCAAAATGTGTGATAATAACAATCCTTCAACACAAAGTATAGCGGACTACTTAGCTCAGTTGCTCAAAGACAGGAAGCAACTGGCTGCGTTCCCGAATGTTTTCATGCACATGGAACGACTTCTGGACGAAGGTAGGTCAAAATCGTGTTCACCTATTTATAATATGTGTATAGGGAGGCGAGAGTGCAGGTTACTATCGCAGATTCTTGTCACCACAGGGATCGTAAATTGGATGCGTCGACATAAATGCTACAACGCACACGATATTAAGTTTATTTTTGTCTTCGCCCCGCCGAGTTATGGTCCAGTGGTGTTGGTAATGCGATCCAACGAAAAGCGAAGTAAAGCAGAACGTCTCTCTGATTACAATTTGCGGTCAGCGATCGGTAGATTGTCGCCAACGAAAGAGATCGGTGAAATGGACGTAGTAAACGGGTTTGGTGTTCACATTTCGCCGCCGCAGATGTTGTAAATAAGAGATAAATCTGTCTTTATTGCCGGAGTTTGAGGTTATAATTTTGTAACGAGGTCATTTAGCGAAGGATCATAAGTCCTAGTGCACGTAACCTGTTCATAAGGGCCGTTGTCATACCTACATACCGTGCGAGTTAGCGGAATGTCGCCATTTAGTATAGGTAGGTAGCCCGAACCGTACAGTTTCGTTTCGAGCCATATGAGATTTGTACGCAGTGCGGCGCAGGCGCACCGCTCCTTGCTGTAGCCTCGTTTTATTGCCACTAACCAGTTCGCCGATACTATGATGCCCTTATCGTAGCCACTGAATGCCTACCGGCTGGACCAACTTGTGAGTGACGTCGCTTGTAATTGTCGGATGCATTATCTTATGACAAAAATTTTATTGTCAAATTAATTAATCCGGTTTTATTTAAAAACTAATTACAAATAAATGTCAGTCTTTATTTATACAAGTTGTATCCCGCGGTGAAATAACAAACTCACTTTCATATTTATATATTACTAAGAATGATTTTGTATTGGTATTGTGCCTAATATGGTTATTTCATGTGAATACAAATAAATTTCCTATTCTGCATAACTTCTCAATTACCTTAACGTAATACCTTATAATGATTTTTATAATTTAAATATCTTTGCAATGATAGTTTTTTTTACAGTAATTTTACGGCCTGCGATTGTTTGTAGTACTTATTAGTCGATGATAAGATTTATGTAACATTGTAATAATTTTTTTTATTCGTCAATAAAATCCAGAATCATTAGTATAATAATTTTATTTTGTCTTGTTGATAAAAATACATAAAACATTATCAAGAATAAATACATTAAAAATATTAATATATATATTTTGTCGTAGTTATCATAAAAGTTGTAAATATACGAAACTAATACATACCCATTAACTAATATATAGGCCGTTGCCGTAATAGGCAATTATTGCTGTGATTTTTTAAATAATATTATTAAAACAAGAATGCTTTTATATGTATCCAAATGAATTGAAAAATTAACAATAAATCCTAAGAAGGAAACAGAAGAATGCCAAATTTGTAAAACACGCTATATATTAAAAAAAAAATTGTAAAGAATTAAATTCTAAGAGGCTTTCAGCATCTAATTAAATGAACTAAGATAAATTCTGTCTATGTATGTAGAGTGATGTTTATCGTACATGTTAAATTGTCTCATATAAAAGTATTTGACTCCATATAAAAATTGTAGGTACAATCTACCTATAAAAGGAAAAGAATAAGAACCGGTAAATCAAGAAAAGTAAATGAAGTAACAAAGTAGTGATTATTGACAATAATGATGAGCTATTTCCAAGATCCAATAGTGATAAGGATCTCCAAGTATAATAAACATTTGTTAACTACTAATGTAAAAATCATCGAAGTTAGTACTAGTATAAAATATATAAATAAAATTCATTACCCACGCTGATCACGTTTTCTAATAGAACAAGGCAGTAAGGTATAAAGATTTACTGTTAAGTTTAAGCTGTACACTAGGTGTATAAAATAGCATTAAATAATTACCATCTTTTGTTTTCATAATTATCATTGTGTCTTCAATCGATCTGTATATAGATGCAAAGCTGGGTTTACTCTTCGTAAAGGTATGCATATTTTTTGGTAAACGTTATGCATCTTTTCTTTGATTGTCTATCCCTTCCTTACACAGAATGTAAATGTGCACACATCAAAAAAAGTCTAAGCAACACATACAAATTTCAATTTTACAATGTGTTTTCGCATTAAACCCTTAGTATTTTCTTATTTATATTATTTTTTAATGCTTTTTTGATATTTAACAACAATTGCTTTTTTATTTTCTTAAATAATCTTAATTAACAATAATTACGAGTAAATACTGTATGTACGTAGTACAAACTAAGGTGCCTAATCAACTAAAATAAAATGGTTGTACAAAAATTGCATAAATTAATACAAAGTGTGGCCTCCTCTGTTATGAAGAACTTGCTGGCACCGATAATTCATAAAATTGATGTGACTGATAATGTTATCCTGCGGCAATTGCTCCGAATGAAATTTTAGTAAGTCCATCAGTTGTTGGGTTGTTGTCATTCCACCCAAGTCTTTTAAAACACGTCTCTGGAGCATGTCCCATGCATGCTCGATGGGGTTGAGGTCTGGCGATTGTGCAGGTCAAGGCAATACCAGGATGTTCTCACTTCTCAAGTACTCCCGTGTGCAAAGCTGTATGCGAACGCGCATTATCATGCATCAACGTGAAATCGGAGCCAAGCATTTGAGCGAATGGACGGACATAAGGCCTTAGAACATCCTCAATGTAATTTACAGCGTTCATGTTACCATTTACAAAAATGAGCTCAGTTCGTCTGTTCTTCATAATAATAACTGTTGAGCTGTTGTATGGATGCATTTCCTGAACGCACCTTAGTATTTCCAGGATGACGGTACACTCTTACCCTTCTAGTATCAGGCTTGAATCCAAATCGAAACTCATCGCAAAACAAAATTTTATACACATTATATGGACCTTGGTATAAAATGTATGAACAACATACATTTTATACCAAGGTCCATATAATGTGTTCCCTACACGACGTCGCTCCATGACGTAAAACATGTCTCAAAATCCAAATTTGTTCAAAACTTTTTTCAAATTATTGTTTAAATCATAAAATTGATACAGAATACTAAATTTTAATAAGCAAATAAAACGCTATAAAATTCGAACAAATGCATTCGCTTTTGAATTTGTAAAAAAACAAGTGATACCTTTTTTTTTTACAACCAGCTAGTATGTCCTATAGATCAAAAAAGTTTACATTGGTGTTACCTACTTGGTAAGAAATTATATAATAATTGATTAATAATTTGAAATAGTATGTGCAAGTTAGACTTTTTTGATGTGTATATATTGAATACTTTTAAAACATAGCTTTTCATATTCATATCAAGATAATCGGTTACCTCGAACTTCTCTCTTTCTCTCTCATTATTGATGTGCCATTTAGACTTTTTCGTATGTAAGAATGAGTTTGTACAAACCCTTTCTTTATTTGCCATATTCTGTCTCTACACATCTATGTTAATTTTCTTCTCTGCTTTTTTTGATCAGCATGTATTCGTCTTTTGTTCATTACCTAGCATCGTCCACGCAGAACGGCAAGTCTTGTACTAGTTTAAGAATTATTCTTATCGAAATTTTCAAATTGGTTAGTTTTACCTTATTATACGTGGTGTTTCTCAACACTGGGATCATTATTTAAGAAACGGGTAATAGTGTTGTATTTTTTTTCATTAATTTACCTGTTATTATTAATTTCATTTGTTATTGGGATTTTCTTGTTTATATTAATATAAGTTTTAAAAGAGATTAATAAAATTGGTCTTAGATTAGGTACTTTTTTATTTTAGTTGCTAGTTATTTTTCTTCTAGATACCAAATAATGAAAGAGACGCCAGTTACAAGTTAAACCGAAGTTATGTTGTATTACCATATATGTTACCATATGTCCTCATGTTCGCGTTGGTTTCATGCCGTCCAATGTTTACTCGTATTTAAATGAGCTCCGAAACGTGCCAGTAGCGTATGAATCTAATATGATTGGTCTCGGTATAGTCAGAAGTATGAAAAGAACTGTCATTTCATTCTTAAATCGTTGGTATTTTTACGGTTTCCGTAAAAATATGAAGTCTTACTTAGTTTGAGAACTTACCTATATTAAAATAAACTTCCGATTTACAGAATTAACTAAAAAATAAAAATATTGCAATTACTTGCAATGATCCACGTGAAACACGTGCTACTATATTTAACTTGCATCATTTTCAGAAACTTGTCGACTTAACATTTGCCATAAAAGAAGCGGTTGAATTGAGGTCTGACTGTTCTTTAATTTCATTTTGACAAGACAAGGTTTCTGATTAACTTATATGAGTGCGTTAAAGTGACTAGGCACTTTGTATTGAATGATAAGATGGTATGTTGATTTATTTGATTTCTTTTAACGCATATGTCAATACCGAAAAATACGGTTGACGTTATTACTAGATAGTTTTATGGTTTATTTGACACGTCGGCGGTCCGGCTTGAGCTGTAAAAGACTTGACGAAAATATCGACGGCAAGCTGACAGCCGACAGGCGTGGCGTATCGTGTTACGCCGAACTAAGAAATTACGATGGCTATTTTGGATGCTGGAATATTAAGCGCAACAGAGAAACTAAGTCAGTTTTAAAACAAAGAGCTTAGTTTTATCAAAGATACCAATTTAAATCGTTAATCTTTAACTGCAATAAAGGTCGTGATTTAAATAATTAACTGCAAAGTTCGTGTACTATGTAAGTATACTTGTAATCAGGTTGTATTAACTAAGATGTAATTCTCGCTGACATTTAATAACATGGAATTTTCAATTACCAAAAACAATGATCGTGTTTACATTATATTGAATTGATTATTTGGTTATTTGCATTCCAAGAAGAGTCGTGAGTCTCACTAGATAACAATGCATTTAACAAAGTAAACATATAAATTAATCAATCATAACATGTAATATTGATAGAACATGACTCGAGTATTCTGTTACAAGATTAAGTGACATCGATGAACTATCAATTTGGAATTATATATGATTATTAGAATATAAAGCAATAAAG